ATCACAATACAAGCGCACCTTAGAGTTATATTGTCGACAGAACAATGGATGCTTAAGGAGCGCCGCCCCCGAGCTCGCTCGAATCAAGATCAAGTTTGAGTTCGTGCACGCACTTAAAATTAAACAGATTCGAAATCCTTCGGATTTTCTTGCGATTTTACAATAACGTGCACACATGCATATAAAGATTACAACATTTACAAATTCATTCAGACGTGTAATACATATATTTATTGACGATCAGGAAAACATTGTATATGTGTTTTTGTGCACTTTCCAATCTATATGCGCTTCTGTAGTGCGAGCATAGAAGAATTGCATATAAAGGCTGATCGATGTATGCGTTTTATTCCTTCACGGAAATTATTTCAATCGTTTAATGCCCATTTTGCGACTGGACGCATGCGATACCCAATAAAAATATGTACGCGCGGGCAAATAAAAGTTAACTGCATAGTTTTGCGTGTATGACAACTTTTTCCGATTCGTCAGTCACTTCATGTAACAATAAATATCACAAATATATTACATTAAATCATAGAGGGCGATTTTCATGATAAACGAGCTCGTTTAGCTTTTTACCGGAGGTTTATGTGTTTGATGTTTCATCTGGTACACGAAGATGAAACGTTATTTTGAAAAAAACAAGAGCGGAGTATGTTGATGGCAATTCAACTTTTCTGAAATATAAATTTATCGGCAACAAGATCTGCATTCAAGATCGTTAAAGAATATCCGAAATTTTAAAGCTCACGGCATTACGTGAGTGTTATCAAAAACTAATCTTCGTTACCCAATGAAATTACGTTGATATTACGAACGTTTCGAAAATATCATTCGGTCGCGTTCGTAAATAATAAAAGTGTCTCCGTCTGGTGAACATCACTCAAAGTCAATCATAAGCTTGACCGGCGCGCACACATTACTCCTACTATGCGCGTTTACTGCCGTCGTCGTCCGCACGAACGTTCAAATGCAGTATACGATGCTTCGAAAGACTGGTGTACAGCTGTCGGTAACTCGGACTATAGTCTCAACTGCGCCTCGCTATGACTCGTGAGCAATTGCACAATGCGCGTCGGACACAGAACCATCGGTCGAGACTATTTCACTGCAAACGAAACTTAAAACTTTCTTGGCTGAGGCTTATCATTAGATTGGATACAACATAAAAGTAAATCAGATTTATTTAAAACATATACTCATAATAATGGAAACGTCGCTCTTTGGCTATAAATTGATTAATAATATTATTAATTAAATTATTAAGTATAAAATATAGAACTTTACAATTTTTATAATCAGCATTTAGTTAAAAGATATAAAATACCATAATAAAATATGTTACGAACTGACAATCATATTATAATATAATTTTTCGCTCGATCGGCTAGCTTGTCAGTAATTTGTAAAACGTTAGGCATCACATTTATGTATAATATGCACGACACTATTTCAGTAACCGTCCGAAATAATGAGTAACGCGAAGTATTTTGCAAAAGCCGACTTGTACAAATCTTACAAACGTTTATAAAAAATAATATTCTAGACAACTAAATATACGTGTTAATATAGAAAATAACCAAGACTAGACTGATTTACGAAATATACATACACATTCTTGAATTCGGAATAATACACACATATGCATTCTAGCTTATAATAATTCATGTATCTTGACACATTTTCATCAGTCAGTACGTGCCAAATAATTTTGTACTTGAAACTGAACAAAATAATTGAAATTCTCGAATGCTTTAAATTGTATTAAATTGGAAAATTTTTTAGATCAATAAAATAAAAAAGATATCTTCAATGCCGAATTCATCAAGAATACAATCATTGTTTCGGGACGTTTCGATCCTTCTGAGCAACGGTTATGAAATACTCTGTAAAGTATTATTACTATTTCATTCACGTATCGGTGCTAATTTATAGATGGCGTCAACAGACCCAAAATGGATTGCGAATTATAAAAGATTAAACTTTTTTTTCGGGAACTTGATGAAGGTTACCATCGAATTCCGGAAAAAAATATTTACAGCCGGATGATTGTTTAGCCACCACGAAGGTAAAAGATTCCTTTTTTTTGCGGTTCCAAATGTTTTTTTTTAACATTCTCGTAAAATGCCTCACGAAGGAAGTTCACTTCTACGGTTTTGTTCAAACAACTTTGAATGTAAGCTAATCGTTCAAATAAATAAATAATTAATTTCTTTCGTGGTTGTGACAAATCGGCATTATTGAATAAATTTTGATTCTTTTATCGTTTATGTGTCATTCGTTTTTTTCCAACGATGAACTAATCCTCAAAAAACACTCCCATAATAAAACTTTATGGCAGCAACCAATTTATTTATACAAAAAAAAAGTTTGAATTAAATACATGCCTTAATCCAACATCTGTATTTTTAAAGGTATATTGACATTAAATTTATTGGAGGATCGTATTATGAAATTTCGAGTCATGTAAAAAAAAGTTTTAAAAGAAAATTTCCATCTGGCACAGCTATAAATATTCATAAATTTACTGCAGAAAAGTTGTCACAATCGTTGCTGCATTTTCTTATTACACCATTGTCCCGTCATCATCTTGCCAACTAATGAAAATGGGACAATTTTTTATGATAGAAGTATAATTTTACACGTCTGAAACATCATTTCAATAAAGTTCAATGACCTAAGGAATAGTTTTTTTTTTGCGTATTCTGACTGCAGACAGTGAGCTACGCATTAACAACTTTTTAATTAACCCATTTGTCGAGTTACTTATCATCGAATAATTTTTATAGGCCATTATTTCCAATGTACGTAATTTATTCTTCGATGTACCGTACATAATTTTGAGAACAGCAACAAACAAGCTGATTGTAAAGAGTCCTAGATATAAAAGCAACGTCTCAAAAAATGATGAACTCTTTCCCATGAAACCGCAAATGACTTTAATACATCTCATGTAATTGGAACATACAAAAACTGGTTCTATTTCAGGGGTAGATTCGAAAGCTTTATCGTGCCATAATTGAGCACCAATTAATATTTAATGTTATATTTTTTGTATTAATCCATGATATAAATTCACAATATTTAAGTATTCATGAATCAAAATCATTTTTAATGCGATTATTATTATTGGCTATAGGGATACGCCGTTTCCATCGATTCCGAACTTTCATTCAAATGCTCGACGACGACGACGCTACTATACACTACACAGCACGCATGTATCTCTCTAAGTTCACTGACATCATCCAAGTCCGTTCTCTCTTTCTCTCTATCTCTTAGCGAAAAAAAATCACACGTATGGACGTATTCGCCATGGCCGCACGCAAAATCGTAAAACTGCACAGCACACATGGCAATCACATAAGTGGCGGTACATTATCGAACTAAAAATTACTTTAAGAATAGATAATTTTCGGAACAGGTATATGCCGCGCTCGCGCGCGCGCGTCGATGGCGATTTTGAAAGAATATTGCGCGCGTTTCAGCGCAGCAGCAGAGAAACTGTACAGTCGTACGATTTCAATAGTCCGTAGCATATAAACGATAGACTTTGCCTTTGCGGACGGAAACACCAGTTACGATATACGTGACCCGAAAAAAAATATATATAATCTTTGACGACAACGACGACGTATGTTGCTGCGTGTATAAATGCATACACACACATGTAAGTGTGCTCTTAACACTTGCGTTGCTAACGCATATGTGATTTTCCGAGAATTGATGAATTTTCAGTCGTTGGTACAACAAAAAATATCAGACGTACTGCACTGGTGATTCATCTGTATCCTCTGAATTTCATTAGAATAATTATACAATTTAAAAACTTGCCGATGTGCTTTTTTCAACAGCTGTTAGTCGATGTAATCTAATGCCTGACATTTATCGGGATCACCTGCAATGGTCACGATGCAGAATAAAGCGATCGACTTTTACATCAAACGCAGGCATTACGTCTGCGAAATTACAGCAGCTGCAGTAGAATGAGATGTTAGAAATCGGTGCAGGTGTCGGATAGTCGACTTACTTAATCCTCCTTGCGTCCATTCTGTCCAATTTTCCGGGGGCGACGTTTTGTTTTTTTGTTGTCCCACGATCGATCTCTACTTTTATTGTCCTTGAGTGTATTATGTGTGCACTCTCGTCGCCTTTTTGGGGAGATAAAAGTCGGCACGTAAGATCGCTCTATTATTGCATCGATCGATTGTGTTACATACATTGACAGGCAAGTTGCAAATATCCACTTGATCTCTCACGAAAACAGGCTAATTGTTTCGTGTCGCATCGCAACGTTTATCCGGATCAGGTCCTTTTTTTTACCGTCATCTTACGTCGTCGCGCGATTTTGTGGACCATTTATCGTAACGAGCCACAGGAAGTTTTCTCTCTCGCGGCAGCATATCGCCATAATCGTTTCGGCAACAGCCTCTGTTTCCTAAAAATAAATATACATAGGATAGCGAGACAAAAAACAAACAAACGATCGCGACAAATGTGATTTTAATTGATCGATACGTTGCTTTATTCGATGATCGATCGGCGCGTTTTATGGGGCGTCGCTCGCGATCGAAGGTTTTTTCTGGCAATAAAGCGATAACGATTTACACGCAACGCCAGCCCCCCAAAAAAATCTGGTGGAAGTCGACTTCCTTAACGATTCCCTCAAAAATCAAACGCGTGCTCGCCTCGTAATAATCATCGCGCGATAAAATTGATCTACTAACACCTCGAGGCTCCGCTCCAGAGATGTCGGTCCTGTTAAGAGGTGATAATATAAAGAAAGACAGAGAGCGAGAAGAGGCAAAAAAAACGGGCAAGTAGTGGTGGGCCCCGCGCGCACCGGTGGCCATAACGGACTTTGCTACCGCTGCCGCTGCGCGTGGTGGGTTTGAGATCGCAGCAGAGTAGTCCCGCGGGCCGCGCACGTAGGCCCCTCCCGCCGCCCGATATAAGCTGAGTGCAAAGCGCCACCGCGCAGACAGTCACCAGCGAACGTCGCCCGAGAGCCTGTAACCGCGCGCAGACCGAGAGAAAGAGCCGACACACGGCCACGTGCGCAGCTGCTGCTGTTTTGTTTTTTGTTGTTGTTATTATTATTTTTTTAATTTTTTAATTTTTAAAAATTCGCATGAAAGTTTTTTCGAGTCAGTGTTGATAAGCAAGAGTAGATCCGGAATTTTTTTGGAAAAATTTAAAAGGTACACCCATCATCATCGTCATCATTATCATCAACATCAAAAAGCTTCGAATTTGTTTTGTGCAATGATCTTGTCAACAACAAAAAAAGAAAAAGTGGTGACTCGAGTGTTATGTACGGTGGTGGTAAATCATTATAACGAAGTAATAATTCAAGGGGTTTAAACAATAATTATCGTAAAAATCGAGTAACGAAAGAAACACTACCAGTGAATGGATTGTAAATTTGTATCTACAAGAGTATGTGCACCAGCGAACTGAGTTGCATTGTGGCGCTATACATATACATGCAACACCTGCTGCTGTGCGCGAATTCGAATCTTACTCTGTTCCAAAAATTGTGCAATTTCTTTATTATGCGATGTATACAGTACGGACACGTTTTTTTTTTGGGCACTGGTGTGACAGTAACAGAGACAGAGAGAGGGAATTTCACCTTTTTATTTTTTTATGTGTTGTACATACACACATACACACACGTATAGATAATACGTTGTGTAATTATATCAACCGAATATCTTTTTTCCTGTGAAATATTTAAATAGCACGCGCGTGTCATTGAGATCGCGGCCTCTTACGCAACGGAGATCCTCACCTCTTCTCCTTCTCAATACATATTTTGGTTTTCCTCCTCTCTTCATTCTCTCGAGGCGAACAGATTTATCATTTTCTAAAAATTCGTACTCGTGAAATTTGCATAAATATCGAGTCAGCTGTCCGCCGTTGTCTTTCTCTTCTCGGTCTGCGCAGCAGCGGGCCCGATCGGTTGCTCGGAAATTATACGCGAATGCGCGCGCCAATTGCGTAACGCGAAATCGCCAACTTGAACCTTATATACTTTTTTTTCTTCTTTCGAGTATCTCTGCCTCTCTATCTTTCCTTTTTAATGAATCGTCGTCGATCGGTTAACATACCATAATCCGTCGATTTAAACGTCTTTCATAATTTTACGTACTCCGGGCCGCGCGCGCGTATACAGCGCATAAAACACAGAGAGCTTGAGACGCCGTGAGAGAGCCTGCGTAGTATTTCGCGTGTGCGGAAGCGCATTGCAGTATCGTATAATATTCAATTTTGCGTGCGCGCGCGAGCGTAATATGTTTGCCAAAAGAAAAACGTTTCGCAGCAGTGAAACTTCGCGTACCGACGCACACATGCGCGCACACACACACACACACACACACACACACACACACACGCACATGTACAGACACTGACTTTTACGTACTGGCCAATGGACGATGTATCGGTGCGCGCACGAGGATATATAGCGATTCGTTTGACGAATGCAAAAAAGAAAGAAAAAAGAAGTTTCGCACTTTCTTTCTAAGTATAATCGTATTTACGAGTCTCATTAGCGATTGCGTAATGTAATATCGTGCGCGCGCGAAATGGAAGGAAGGAAAAGGAGGTGTCTTCAATTTTCGATCGTACATCCGTGTGCAAAATAAAAAATAAAAAAGAGCTCGGCAAAGTCCGATCAGATGTAAAAGTTGCCGTTACGATCTCGGGCGCGCATAATGTGTCGTAGAGTTTAGGCGCGGTGGCGAGATGTAGATATAAAAATGTACAGAAAAGATTAAAAGAGAGAAATTCAGCCACGGAACCGCAGAAATTCTCCAGGTTTTGTGCAGTATATAGTGTATAAGCTATGTATATATACACGTCGGAAACGTTCACCTCGCCGCCGTATATACACTTTATAACGTGTACAATATACAGGCAACCAACGCGCACCGAGAGTGTTTTGCGCGCTCGGCAACAATTACACCGGCTAGATTATAAAAATATGTGCACATTTTTTCGCTCGATCTCTCGGCTCCGAGCACAGAAAAAAAGAGAGAGAGAAAAAAATTATTATTAGCGCGGAGATACAATCGAGAAGCTCGGTAGAATAAATGTGCTCGATCATTTTATTCGAGCGCGTAATAATCGTATATGCAAATTCGTTGAACCTTGCTAATTGTAATCGTACGATCGGTATGAAATCTCGCCTCGGTATCGATCTAAATAAACGCGGCGAGTTGATATAGTCATTTTTACACCTGTCAATTGTGTCGTATAACAAATGTTCCCGTTATTTTTTATTACACAAACCGATTTCCAACCGATCGAGACTCACGCATTATCTAAAAATAAATTCTATTGAAAGGAATCTTATGTTAAGTCATCCAACTGGTGATCCTTCGGGCGGTAAAACGTGTAATCGGGTCAATTGAAAATATTACAAACATATGCGCGCAACACATAATACATCACACGCGCATCGTTCTCGAGGTTTCTTAAATATTCCTGCGTCTCTTCGTTTTTTTCTTCTAACTCTTTTTATAACGCGCGATTGAAGAGCTTATAACGCGATTAATTGCCTTCTAGTTCGGTCGGAGTATATTACGCGCGCCGAGCGCGTATACGCGTCAAGGATTCGAATTAAAATCTCAATGTTTTTGACTGCATCTTACGCGACTTTAGAAGTAATTTGCGCAATCGGATTCCGTATACTACGGCTTGAGTTAGTTTCGAGACGTGAGATGACACACTGCGCACGATCGAGACTTCGGATCACATTGCGTTGAGGGGATTTGAAAAATCGAGCTCGCAATTCGCGCACAGAAAAACGAAAAATAATTTAATTTCACACGTGGTTGGAAGGGAAGAAAGATTTTCTCAAGTTGTTAATAAGGTGCTTGATTATATCAAATGCAAGGTATTAATTTACACCGTGATTTTAAGCAACGATAATATTTCATACTTGACTTTTTCGTGTATAATATCATGTATACGAGAATTTCCTCTCGGCCAGAGGAAATGTCCAACTCATTCGGCGCACATCCTTTTGTAAAGAGAGAACGAGGCGTTGATTTTATCGCTAATTAAAATAACTATTTTTCACGATAGAAAAAAAAGATTTCATCGCTCGGACCGGATACGACATTTATATTAATGCATTATATTTTAATAAAACGAATGATATTTATCTGAGCTTTGATTATTTAAATTACAACTTTCGTGCACGGCTTTGCGAAATACACATGCGTAAATGTTAAAGGCAGAGAAATGAATGGGAATCGTAAAATTTAAGCAAGCTGTTATTTGAACAGAATCGTCTTCGTACTCTGTGCACTCCAAAATTTGCGCTCTTCGGGTACACACGTGCGTGCCTTCGCAAATATAATGCATATAATTCGGCCAAATTTCGCCTCAACACAATCGCTCGATCGAAAGAACATCTATCACACTCTCTCCCTCTTGGTGCAATTTGCACGTACATGTGATATAATTTTCGTAAAATCGTCTCGCTGCCGCGCTCTCATTCGCCGCAGAACCGCATGAACGAATTGAGTCATCAAAGCCATTGACTCGGCGCATGTACCGAACGCACACACATACGCACGTGTGTGAGTGCAGACTTTTTTCGTACAATAATGCTGCTGCTGCGTACCCGTATGCACCTGTGTATAAGTGCGTGTGTACATGCGCCGATTCGCATACATACATACGCTTCGCGCCGCGCCGCCGCCACCACCGCTGCTGTAAATGTATATAAGAGAGAGAGACCGACTTTTACTTTCATCTCGGCGCGCAGACTTTCTTCGTCTCTGAATATTCAAAGTCGAGAGTAATAAATAAACGCTATGTATAAGCGCGATTATAATGATTATTACGAAACCTCTTCGCTGCGTGTATACGCATGCCTTTATAATACACATAAATAAATATGCGTGTACGACGACGAGTGCGAAATTGCGAGGAGCGCGTCATCTTTGGGGTTCGCGCGAGTTTTATGATTTTTCCACGAATACGCGCGGGAGACCTCATGTACCGCTGCAGGTGACTTTATAATTCAAATTTGTGAATAAAAAGAAGGACGGGTGGAGAGGGAAATCGTTATGGTAACTTTCTTTCCTTCCGCGCACAAACGATCGCGAGCTGATCCATCATACTCTTCGCGTAGGATCAAAACAAAGAAAAGCTCGCGCACACATACACGACACGTACGCTCATTGACGAGTCACGCAATAACGCGAGGAATAACGTTGTGTGTGTGTGCATATACTGCTCGAGAGCTGCCGCGAGAGACTTTCGATTCGCGCGCGTCGTCCGCGAGAAAGAAAGAGAGAAAGAGACATGTGCAGCACATGCACACAAAGTGTAAGTTGGCGTCACGCGCCGAAAGTGATAGTCCGCGTTGTTGTTACCGCTTCTGCTGCTGCTGTTGTCGCAAGCGAGCGAGAATATATGTACGTATGCGCTTGGCGCGGGCGAGAAAGGCTTCCTCCCAGCTCTCGGGTATCCTGGATCGACTCTAACGTCCTTCCCCCTGTAGTTAATGCATTTATACCGTATGTGCTGTACGCTCTTCCTGGGGCCTGGCCTTGCGTGTGATTTTTCTGCCCTTTCTGCGCGCCGAGATGAAAGTCAGAAGCTATACTAGCGGCGACCGTGGAAAGACCCGCGTGCTCGTGCACAAGTGCAGCTCAAGAGAATGGGCAATTAAGCTATGTTTTTGGCCTTTTTTCGTTTCATTTTTCACCCTCGAGGGAGTAGCAGCGAGCGAGTAAGAGGTGTGCGTACCTGGCGGCCGTTTGTTTCTTTGTATCGATGGTCGCGGAGAGGAAAAGTCGACTTGGTGAACGGTATTCGCGAGGTCTCTTCTCAAGTGCACACGCGGATGCTATTATACAGATATGTGAACAAAAAACCAACGATTTTAGACCCCATTGGGAACATGTCAAAATTTACATCACGCAGAAACTCGGATGCTGCTCGTTATACATCGAGAGCCGTTTCTGTTGTAACGGATATAATTACGTATCCCATCGAGGCGATATAACGCTTGCACAGTGCACACACACACACATGATGTATAATTGTTTGTTTTGGTTGGACTATTATATGTTCTTTGCGTGTAAGTAAGGTGCATAATAATCGTTAAGTGTCATTATGGACGTTATGGACACTCTCTCTCTCTATGTCTCGCAACTGCAGCAACTGCTGCTCTGCTGTTGATGAATCGTCCTGTAATATGTTATAATAATGTAACCGATATAACACTCGACCACTTTGCCACACTCTCAAATATACGTGTAATGCGTATATGTAATACCCATTTTATTATAAGATGCACATTGCGCTTAAATGCATTTTTTTCACTTTTCTTCATTGATATAAATCATCGCATTATAATTTATTGTTTTTCTTTCTTTTTTCCAGAAGTACTCGTACGACAATAATCAGAAATAAATAAAAATGAAGCTCACAACGACGTTATTGGCAGTGTGTCTGTGCTTCGCGGCGGTCCACTCGTTACCAGCTCCCGGCTTCCAGTCTAGGGTAAGACGACCAAAAAAAAATTTGTTATTGCGAAACACCTCTAACCACGAGATATTAGCGATCTCATCGTGTCACCTGTAGCTCTCCTGTATATGTATATACGATTTCACCACGTGAACTTTAACAGCAAAATGCACCGTAAAAAATGTATTGAAATTATAAAAAGATAATTGTACGCAATAGAAATTATGTAACAAATTAGACGAGATAAGAGGCCCGATGATACTTGAAGATAAAATCAGGATATCAATGAATCGGGGTCGGTCGTGACAGCTTATGTACCGATGCGAGTATGATGTGAATTGCGACGATGATGTTGTTTTGTTTTTTACGTAATAAACATCGGTAACCCGCATTTTAGATATCCTCGTGACGCGAGATCGCAAAGCGTATAGCAAGCAACTCGTTTTTCTAAAACTAGATCACACTTCTATTTTTACGTGTATCTTGATAAAATTATGCAGACGAGAATTCGAATGCGTTCTCTATTTTCGCCTCGTAGTGGGCGATGAAGAGCATCAAAACTTGAAAGAAATTAGTCACTCGCACGCTACGGTCATCGTGATCTCACGACAAATGTACACACTGAGGAATAATTAAGTTTATTTCTGGAACTATAAAAAAATGACACAAAAAAATTGTAAAAAGTCGTGTTTTTAAAAAACCTGCATAAGCATCGAATTTGCATCGATCTTCAGCAATATATTATATGTGTTCTCTACCGATCGAACATAATTATACGAGCCATGCACTTCAAAACTAAGTAGCTAAGCATGTACCGAAGCTCATTTGTTCGATGTTAAAAATCGTTGCCAAGTGCAAACTTTTACGTAACGTAGGAAATTACCGATTTTTTTCCTCACTCGGCTTCTTTGCTTTGTTTTTGGACGGAATTAACGCGATCGACACCGATTACCGATCTAGAAAAAGAAAATGGAAAAGTACACCTTTTTTTTAACAAATCTATCATATTATAGGCAATGACAAAATAACACGTACGCGCCGCGGTGTGGTGACCGTATGGTCACGAAGCCGTACCTCAGCGGCGCGATTGCGTACACTCCATATACGCATGTGACACAAATTGTCAACGATATGAAACTCCGTGCGTACAAACACGAGCATACGCTCGTTGCACGATGGCAATTTTTTTTCTCCTGTTTTTTTTTTATATTCTCCTTTATAACTATAACATCGCGGCGATGTCTTTGCATACAAGTCGGCTACTTTTCGTGTAGCGGGGCAATTGTTTAAGGCTTATTATAAGTGTGCTGTTTGACTTTTACATTATTATGATGATGATGTGTTTAGCCAACTACGCTCCGATATGCGCGAACAGATTTTTCCGTTGCTACAATGACTCGAACGCACGTTCGTTTCGTAAATATATAAGCTTTTCGACTTTTTTTCTTTTTTTTGCGACACGAATAAATGAATGCATACCATTGTATACGCGAAAAATTGTTCAATAAACACTTGGCTAATTTAATCGTAAAACGAACGTTAATTGATTGATAGTTCTAACGCGAAAGTATACATCAAATGAATGGCTAACATAAGCACAGTGCAAATTGCGCGTTAATAAAACTTTTCTTCATTGTGTACACAGGATTATTATATTCTTTAATTATGATTGAATAAACAAACACGGCTTTAACGAAGCAAATATATTTAATGTTAATTTGCCGAGACGTCGCTTTACAGTTTTTTTCCGCACTCAAGTCTCTCTCGCTCGCTTGATTTTTTTTTAATTTTTATTTTTTATTAATTGAACGCCTTATCAATTCAACTTACGGTTGAAAGAAAAAATTCAAGAATCAAACGTCTTTTATTTCGTTGTGTTATATTATAATGCGATATGCATCAAGGTCTTGGCAATACGCGAATCCGGCTTTCGACGGTAAATAACCTTCTCTCCGCGTATACCGCTCACTATCCGCGTGTTCGAAATAAAATAAAATTAAAAAGAAGAAAAAGAAGGAAAACCTTATGTACTCCAAAGCGCAAACGCGTGCGGCCGTAACCTCACCCTGCCACCACACCTGTTGGCTTTGGCATTCGGAATTTCATCTGTTCAGCTCGTAATACAGCTTAAAAAAATGTATGTACGAGTAAACAATCAATTTTCGGCGCTGAGACTTTCGTTTCGCGACAACATAATTCGTTTCTCTGACACAATCGACGCCTACCATGCGTAATACAACGGCAGGATGGAATCTTCCCAAAGACCAAGATAAATAGAGGCATCCTCCCACGCACACACGCTGCACTCACTCCTTTTATAACAGCTCGAGTAATCGCGGCTTGTAAAAGTTCAAATAGCGAGCAAAACAAGCTAAGTCTATACAGTCGACGACGACGACGCTTTCACCCATCTTATAGAGCACGCGCGCAAGTTAAGGCTCGCGCAAGAGCGGCCGACTACGAGCTCTCGGACATCGAAACCGAGTCTCCGCGGCGGCGCAGACACTTTCTTCGCGGTCGATCGCGTTCGTATTCGCGCGCGCGCGAGTTGCATGGAAAGTAAGAGTAATTTTGAGAGTATTACGCTTGCAATGTATACGTTTGCAGAGATATATAGTACACGTGCCTGCGCGAGTCGTTGTCGCTTGATGCTTGCTGCTGCTGCGAAAGAGCGAAATGTTCAGAGATTTTTATTGGTTCGAGATTGAAGCTTATTCTCTTTCTTCGAGCTGAGGAAATTTATTTTTTGAGATTATTTTATATCGCGCAAAATAAATGGCAGCGTACAGTGGGATCATCCTCCTTACAATGCACGAATTTTTCGTCATTATTAAAAGCAGGCACAGGTTCGCGCGCGTGTCTCGAATGATTCTATAAGCTATACATACAGAACGATCGCGTAGTATTTAATACCGATCTCGCGATCAGCGACTCGATCACGACTCGCGCGCGCTCGCTCGCGAGGATAAAGTAAGGTCACGCGCGCGCGTGTGCACGAGTCGATGACACTGACACACTATTTTACATGGTGTATCGTATCATACGTACGTGGCAGATACGAAAAATCATATTTGCATAAATATTTTTTTAGTTACGCACTTCCATATATTTAGCTCCCTCGATCGACGCTGAGAAAGAAAAAAAATCTAATCCGAAAGGATATACTATCCCGCGACATCGCGGCCAACTGCTAAATAATATTATTATTAAATGTATATAATACGAAACTCGCAACTAATTGCAAAGAGGCGCGCGCTCGCGTTCGCGCTTTCTAACCGATCGAATGGCGCCATGTCGATCGACGAGGCAACAGCAGCATCGATCCAATTGAGCGCGACGTGTTCAACCGCGAAATTCATTTTTTTTCTATACGTACTTTTTACCTGTGCACCTCTCTCCATGCCACTCGTTAGCTTCCTCTCCTAAGCGTGCACACATACACACGTGTTTGATTTTTTTGGACAATGTCGTAATATCTTTTTAGAAACGCGTCTTTTTTTATGCATAAAGTTTTTACGTACGAGCCTGAACAAATCGACCGAACGAATTAACGATAGCACATTTTGTCCGAATGATCGCTCGAGATATTGGTAATCGTGAGTATCATTTTTTGCGCTTGTGTATTATACCCATTAGTACATACGTAGCGACGGCTAATCGATCCTATGCGTCTCGCGTCGATAACGTACATAATAATATTTTAGATACACACGAGTATATGAATTATTATTGCGTCACGAAATATCGCGTACATAAACTGCAATGATATCGCACTTGTATTGCTAACGTTGCAGCTTTTCTCGAATGGCCTTTAAGGTCGCATTGGTGCACGCCTCGAGCCGCTATATATTATACACCGAGCGCGTTGAAAGTAGATTGGCCGCATATTCGCGCTTTCTATGAACCTCGATAACACAACGCACACGTACACACGTATACACACACCGCACGCGTATAAATACGGACTTTTTTGACGCATTTGGTCCTTTGCGGTTGCAGTGGCTCGTTACGATCGGTATATTATATTGTATACACAATGTGTGGATTCGACTCGCGTCTGCGCCGCCGATCGTGTCGCCGTGATAAGCGTCACGAAGTCGTAGCTTCTATGTACACACGCACTTGAAGTCACGATAGGATCTCTCGAGCACGACAAAAAAGTGTTATATATTTTTTTAATCCTTATGTTCACGCAAGCCACGCGAAAAGCCATTCGTACACTGTTAAAAGAAACCTTAAATTTAATGTAGATTTAATGTAACGTCAGACATTAAAATTAAAGTTACGGATATTGTATTGAATTTAAGATACTTTAAGATGAAATTTTCGTTAAAAGTTAATGTATCAGTGAATAGATCGATTCTGGATCCAAATGTCAATGCTTCGATTGAAGTTGGAAAAAATTCATGAAAATTCAATCAAAATTAAAGTCACAGGCTCGGCCGCCAGATGGCACGTATACCTTAATCTGTAAATCTGCAAGTGGCTAAGTCAAAATAATTGTATAAGTAAAATAATCGTACCAGTGAAACACAACGACAAATTTGGTTGTAGGGTGATTAGTTATATCAAGTGTTTGTAAGTAAAATTGAATTCTTTTACGTTGAAAAAAAAACTTGATTTATTTTCACATTAATTCTATCGAAAATATTTTTAACAGTATGATATATTGAAAATAAAAAAAATGCCCCAGAGCAAGCATATAAAATTCGATTCTCAAGCGTAAAAATTTGCTAAATTTCCATTACAGTCCACTCTCGACTTATACCATTGTTTCGCCTGGCAATTTATTTACATAGATACACAATCCACCGCTTGGTCCGCATCAAGTTTTGCTTATAAGCTCGCGAATTCGGGCAAAGCGACAAGCCATCAAAGAGTCGAGCAGCGCAGCAGCAGCAGTGGCTGACAGTAGTTGCGTTATCATTGCGATCTCGCACTATACATTTATACATCGATGTATATATCCACACAGCAGAGAAAGTGGACTGTATATAGCCACTTTGGTCTCTCGAGTCCAACGTTGTGTTGGGCAATTTCAGCTGCTGCTGCTGCTGCTGTGCCCAGCGCTATATAACCGTTCTATAAAGTATAACCACGCGCGCCACAATGTCTTTGTTATACTTTGTCCACTGTGCAAAGCGCATATAATAAAGCGACGTGACTTTGCGCTAAATAATATAACGTCGTATCGGCCGGGGGGCGGCGCACACCGACTCCGACCGATCTCGAGCTCCAAATTATTCAATTCGAGTTTTTGCATTGCCCTGGCTGCATGAATAATATATTATAATCGATGAATATTGAAAATAATATTGAATAATCGTCGAAGTGGACTTTCCTCACGAAGACTTTGCTCGCGTGCCACTGGTTTAGAGTTCGCCACAACAAAAGAAAATATGCGAATAAATAATCAACGATTATTGTAAAGCTTGGATTAGATTGCTACACCTAGCGCTAATTGTGAGCCCTGAAAATGATAAATGACACCCTATTATGTCTCGAGTCGAGTCGAGATCGCTGGACACGCGCGAGAGTGAAAGGTTTCCTATACATCGTATACAAGCGCGGTAAACTAAATAATTCACAATGCGTATAACTGAGCAAATAATCACGAGGAACTTAGAAAATGAACGCAATGTACTGTACATGCCACCAGCTAGCTTAATATGCGTCGACTGTATATAAATGCGCAAATATAGGCGTGACACGTGTGTACATGTCTAGGTGCGCGGGCGCTCGAGCCATTGCGACAAATTTTTCTGACCCACACGTTCTGCGCGTTCTGTCTTTTATGGACTATGTACCTATATCAAAAACATAATGCTTTTACAGATCGAGGAGATTTGAACAGTCGAGGAAAAGAGGAAAAAAAATTGTCGAGTGAATAATTATGCGATCATAAAACGTTGGACCTGAGATTTATAGTAGCGATTAAAATTATCATTTGCCTGGGTAAAGTGACCCCGCTAATGCAGAGAAAAATGCAAAATCATGGTCAGAAATGCGAAAAAAAATTCATGGCTCGGCCGCAAAGATTTAATAATTATAAGTTGTTTAATCTTAGATTTGCAGAGATGTACTGTTTGATAATGCATGTATTTTTTTTTCTACTTGCACGTAACTCGCGTTAATCACCTGGATATATGCGCTCACAAGATATTCCTTGTTTATAACTACATAATAGATAGTTGTATCCATTCTTATTACCCGCACGCCTTAAATGACACGAGTATACCGTTCCTATTTGATTATTGCACGTATAATAATTGTAAAATATATAACGCACGACGACTGGGACGCACCGTAAGATGATTTGTTGAAAAAAACGTAAACAACAACAAAAAATGTTTTTTTTTACAAATTTAGGTACTCGACCGGCTGATGGCGCGTGAAAATCCACAAGATGATTCGGCTTTGAGGAACAAGAGGACGATCGGTCTGCTAAGACAACTATTTCCCGACATCACCAAGGTGAGCTAACGCGACCGACAGTCGCGCGCACCTCGCATTTATCTCGCTGCACTGACATAATGAGAGAGAGAAAAAAAAATAAAAGCCAATTCACAGCGCACCTGACTGTTATTACGTTCGTTAGCCCACGCGATGATTTCGACGATTACAATATGTAAAACGTGCATTCATCATTCACGAAGACAACTAATTTCGTATAATTCGCTCAAATTCGAATCAGTAGTAGAGGAGAGAAAATAGTCGGACGCACAATATAAAACTACGTGTATACTACTTGAACATAATTTTTTTTGTCAATGAAATGAAGAGGATGTTCATTATAGATACTTATGATACAGATACCGATTTATCGAGAAGAGACATTTTCGACTGCTATATGGCGCGGTTCTTGGCGCGAGCGCACTATATGTGCATTCCTGACGTGAAAGCCACGACTTATCTATGTGTGTGCAAGTGCACGACGCGTTACTCGTTAATCGCTGTATACACACACGTGCACTTCACGCATTAGTGTAGTACGTGAACAAACGAGCTTAGCTCATACAGAGCTGTATAATGGACATGCACACACACACAGACGTAAACGTACGAGCGAGGCAAGCGTTTGTTACGCCTTGCAAGAAACGAATTGTGTTTATAAATGTTATAAATCCTTGCGAAAGCGGAAAGAATATAAAGCACATAATACTTGGTGCTATAACATAATATAAATACGGGATCTATCCATTGATGGTGTTCAATGATTTGTTCGAATTTTTTTATTTATATTTTTAATTTTTAAGATCGCCGGTACATAGACACCGATTTGAGTTGTTGCGGGTCTCGTTTGTAGTACGAAATTTCATTGTTCTTCTCAATCGGTTGCTCGAGCCGAGAGAGTAAAAAAATTTACGAGTCGTTTAACCGAAGTGCACACTCTACTTACCGACTGCAAAAGTGCATTATACGTTTTCGTTGTTAATAAGTATTGGCATAGCAGAGTTGCCGCGTACTACTTACTCTCCTGAAATATTTTTGATAATGCAATTTTCGTTACGGTTCATATTGTATACACGTGGCCATTAACTCGCTCGGGTCAATTAATTTGCCGTTTCGGCACTACCAGCAGCGGAGAGAGAGATTACTTATTACGCACGCGCAATAATCTTTTGCGAAAAATCAGCGAGCGTAAAACGTGTGATTTACACATACGCAGGCAGGCGCGTGTGCGATATGTACCGCGTACACATACGTAACGTTCAAGTGTGTGTAAATTTGGTCGAGCTCCACTTCTTTCTTTTTTTTTCGCTTCGTAGAGTCTATTGTTCACAGCTCGTCGTCGCTGCATATGTATATGGCGAGTGCGACTCTTTTAATGATCGATTCGTACAGACTAATTACATACGTACATATAGGCGCGAGATATTATCTATTTACATCGTGTATATGTGCTTATAATAGAGACAATCGTCTTGAGAGAATTATCGGATGAAGATCGTGTAGACTTTTCGATAATCAGTAGTTTCCTTGCTGAAGATCTTTTCATATTTTTTTAACTAGCTACGCTAATTGAGTAGTTTTCTCAAAAGATTATACACGCTTTTATCTGCTTAATTACAATCAAAGGTTAAGATCACCTATATTTCTGAAGTTTTGTTTCAAATCGCAATCGAACTCGCATCGCAGCAGCGACGAGTCGCTTAATAATTTCATTTCTCAGTAATACATTCGGATAAACGTCAAAACACGAGAACGACGACGCTTACACGCCTCTTCCAATCGATCTCCGCGTATTAAGGCGCTCGACCGGGTATATTTCCACACGCGACCTCGCGGCAGAAAACTGCGAAACACGTCGCTGCCGGTGCACTATGTGTGTGTGTGTGTGTGTGTGTGTGTGTGTGTGTGTGTGTGTGTAACGTAATGATATCCTTGCCCGCTCATGTCCGCGTGTACATTAATATACGTACGCAGCGCCGCGAAACGCATATCAATCGTGGCTAAATGCGAATTATTATTAATTTCCGTGATGTACGCGGGGAAAGAAAAGGAAGGGAAACATGGAAAACATTACGAGATATTGTAATCGGACACCTCGACTTCCAGACGCAAGCTGAATCCTTCGCGAGAAAAAAAAAATTACTGTAAGGGGCAGGGAGAGTGACGAAATCTCGCGCGCGCGTGAACTTATCGACGCTTGGCGGGCTTTTCAGTCCGAGGTCGAGTTTTATAAGCAGCGCACTAGGATATGAGTAACTACACGTGCTTTCCTTTTGTACGAGATAACAACGACGGCAGAAAAAAAGGAATAACAGATGAATAGGTACCGATTTGTGGTTTATCTCAAGCCAAGCGTCAATGCTAGGGTTAAACATATAAGACACGTGTCTCAGTGTGGATGTATATCAGAGCCTCGAAAGTCGATCACGGTCTGTTTCTCTATTTATTTATTTCGACTTCGATTGGGTAAATTGATAATTGGGCAATTGTATCCGTAAAATTGCGTGGTCGTATAATATTCCGATTGAGCTCTCGTCTACTACGCGCCACAAACGATAACATATAAAACGCGTTCGTGCATTTGATGCATAAAATCTTAGCAAACTGAGACGAACATAAAGTCGAGTACTTCGAACAGCGACGTACTTCTCCTGCATAAAGAAAAATTTAACTTAGCGTTACTTGGAAATTATATATATCGTAGTGTAAATAGCGTTGCGTCATCGAATACAAAATGCAAAAAAAGTGTAATATAAATTCTCGCACTTATGCACGCAGCGAAATTATACGCATGTCAGAGTGTATAAATTAATTCACCCTGGTCAAGTTGTCATCTCTCTCTCAAACACACATATACTCACCAATAGAGCTTAATATTGCCGTAATCGATCCTATCGATATAAATAAACAGGTGTAAAAATTCCTCGATTCAAGTCTTTGACGATCTCGTTATGACCACATGCGATATCGCCAAAGCCCGTTGGATTGAGAAATTATCGTAATCGTCCATTTGACCGATATTTACATTTACATGCATATAATATAATGCGAAAAAAAAGAGAAAAAACATGAAGCGACAAAAAACTTTGAGAAAAAAGCCTGTCGCTGTATATATCGCCACAAAGAATGCCATGAAACCATCATCGCAACTCTAATTCTGCGGTCTCGCAGAATCCATGAACAAAGAAACCAAAATTTATTACCCGATCGCCCGATTCTAGATGATCGAAGATAAGGTGAACATGGTGATCGGCGAAGTGTTAAAGATATTCGGACCGGCTGTGATCCAGACCGTCCTCGGTAACAACAACAAGAACCAAGCCGGCAAGAACAGCGCCGATGGCTCGACCGTTCAGGCCAAAAATCCATTCGGCGACGACGACGACGACGACAATACTTTCAGTTTTACCGACGACGATGACTTTTTCAATAAACCTGCGTCCGCGTCGCAGTCTGGTGGCTCGTCGTCCGGCTCGTCTTCGGTGTCGTCGTCATCGGGAGACGGCGGCTCGAAAATAACCCTGCAATTGCCCACAGTAAAGACAGAGGACGATCGGGACAAAACGACGCCCGTCGACGCTTCGTCGAGTGCGACGAAATCGGCGGCAACCGTTGAGGAGGAAGACGCCATGACGGTCACTCCGGTCACGGCGGAAAGCGCGCCACCGGCCATCCTTCGGATATAATCAAAAAAATTCATATTAATTAATTAAATAATAACGATCGATCGTAATTCATTATGTTTGGTTTGCCGGATAATTGTGTACGAATAAGAGCGAAAGATACTCGAACACATCCCTGATAGAAATGCAATATTTTTTCGTAATTTTTCGAACTCTTTTCCCGGAAAAAATGTTCAACGTTAATAATGGTCAAAATTTAGACCAGTTTTAAATCTCTATGAATACGATAATGCCACTTCAAGTCTCCACCACTAGGTGGCGAGTACCTAAATCTGTAAATCTGCAAGTGGCAAAAAAAATCATTGAATAAGTTGAAGAAAAGATTTGAAATTTCAAGTTCCCACGGATTTCTTAATTTTACTTTTTCATGGAGAGTATCATTAAATTACAATTAATATTGAAATAAGCATTACAAAAATGTTGAAAAAATAATGCATTTTAACTAGGGCCATAATTAATATAATACATATCGTACTATAATTACTATAAAGGTTCAAGCACACTTGGTATCGATGCAATTACATATTACGATTCTGTTTCTCCGCAATTTCGGGGATTCAGTTAGACTCTTGTAACGAACTGTCTCTCGTTCTCTAATTAAATTCAAGTATCTTTTCTCGTATCGTTTACAATTGGTTGCACACCCGATTTATCTCTCATTCTTTTCTCTGGCTATTTTCCTGAGAAAACAAACTTCCTCCTTTTTTTAAATTATAAATTAAACATTTAATTTAATTCAAAATTAATGTTTTTTTGTTCGCAAAAAATTACATTCTTTCACTTTCTTTCCTCGCTAGTCACGTACTTTCATGAGTGTAATAACTGCCCCCTAAACCAAAGCTCGTGCAATATTCGTAGCCTCTCGTCGCGCCGACAAACGCCTCGCGTCAATCGAGAGCTACAATCTTTCATTTTTTTTATTTTGTTTTTTCTCCAACAAACTCTGTGTATAAATATATATTGTATATTTTTTGTTACTTCACATAAATTAGATTTTAAGGGACCGACTAGATTTCCTAGCTCTCTTTTCGTGGCATTTGTACTCACTACAGATTGATAATATAATACCAATAAATCAGTTTACTTTTTCCAACGGACGACTTTTCTTCCCAAATATGCACGCCAAAATATAGAAAAAAAAATTATCAGATTTTATGTACAAAACCAAAGATGAAAAATTAGATATGAAGAATCTGGATTCTAAGACGGCATCCAAAAGAAAGCCCTGACTGGATTCAAGGGAAGCAGAATGAAAACTGCCCGATGGAAGAATCATTAAACGTAAAGAAAAATCAAACAATATTTTGTGCCTATTATACGTGTGCTATAATATTTCATAATCTGCATCTCGTTCACAAAACTGCTCATCAAAGATCTGATCAGTCTGTCTCTTTATACATAAATGTGTGTAATGTGCCAAGTCATTTCCAAACTATCTCTGCGTTTACGATATTACACTTTTCTGCGGTGGTATTTTCATTTTCTTGCTTTCAAGCTTAATTTAAAAACGAAAAAAAATGCCTGAGCTGAAAAAATGAAGATACTAATCTACAACGTTCAACAGTTTATAAAAAAAAATACGATCATATTCTGGTTCATGTGTCGCACGCCATTGTATCTATAAGTAAGACATCGTGGAAAAAGTCCAAGTACGTCAAAACACGATGTCTCATCCTTTCGAAATTACGAGCGACGAAGGGACCTTTTTTATAATCATCCAAAATTTCGTATTATGTGTTTTTTCTATACTTTAAGTTCACCACTGTATCAACCCTGTTACAATCGCAAATTTTTTTGATATACATAATCGCACGTGACATCATTATTTACTTATCGCTCTCAATGTGATTAACTTATATACGAAAATATCTCGCAAAACGCAAGACTTTGTGCGAGCTCATATCGCAGTTGCTATTACTGCCCGAAGCGTTTCTAAATCTCGCCATTATTATTAATTCCTTTTTTTTCTTTCAGCTTTGTCGTTTTTTTTTTTAATTTTAATTCTTGTTTTACTCACTCTTTCACTGTATACAAAATCAATTTACACTGCATATAACGCGAACATTCTTAACTCGAGGTGATCTAATGACATAGATCGCCGCACTGTTATCAAGCACACCATTCTATACATACACACATACATTAAAATGAATAATGGAAAAAAGCCACGAATAATAATTAAAACGAAATAATTTCGCAGAGCTTGAACGGCGGCGCCAAAAACGAGGTGGTGAGCGAGGCCGAGAGCCGCGCCGACCAGGAGCAGGAGGCCGAGTCGGCCAACAACGAGGTGCGCGTCCAGTTCGCCGACGACGCCGTGAGCGCCGATGCCTCGGCGACGAGCAACGACGCCGAGAACGAGACCGACGGCGGCGAGCTCGCGCCCCTCGAGGACATCGAGGCCAGCGACGACGACAGCCGCAACAAGAGGTTCCTGAACTTCGGCGGCAGCGGCAGCGGCGGTAGCGGCGGCGGCTCCGGTAACTTCATTTTCGACATCATCAGGGTAAGTCCACGTCCATCTTTGCTCTAGTTTTTTAGTTCATCTCCTTTTTTTTGTCGTTCGTCATCACCAATTCTACATCGAAGAATTGGAAAATAATTTCTATATAGAGAGGACGTTGATGAATGAAGATTATGGCGAATCAAAAAGTTTCGAGAATGAAACTTTCATGAACACAGTATCGAATGGAATTTTACTTCTCGCACATTATACAATCCACCAAGGTTATAGGCGACATATTCATTTTCATCTATATATACCCCTTCTTCTTCATCATCTTTTTTCATAATCTTTGATTACGAATTAGCGATTCATCCAGTTTTTGCTATAAAGTACATCGGTTTTCGCATATCCACTCAAGGCCATCTTCATATCTCTACATCAAGCACCATTTATAGCGCTTCTAAACGCACTCGATTTGCTCGAACTGCGTTGCAAGCGCAGCACTGTGCACTTTTTTGTTGTTGCTGCGTGCAAGATCGTAGTCGATTTTCCAATTGCTCAATCACCATGAACGCGCGAAATAATCTCTCGAGCACATACTTTTGTCGATCACAGCACTTGATTAATCGTGTCTTGACGCGCGCATCAAGTTGGAATTCAACGGCTAAAGCCGGAAGGTTAAAAGTTTGTTGGCAACGGTTATATTGAAACAGCTTTTTAAATTTATTATCAACTTTCCTTCCTATGGTTTATCGACGTAATGCAGAAGAAGAAAAAACGTTTGAATGGACGAATCTGTACGTGCGCGTAAACGAAGACGATGAAGAAGTGATGTACGATGCCGCTATGCCTCTGACATTGCACGAGTAAAGTGAAAGCTCACGTGGATAAAGTATCGTAATGTTATTCAAAAGCGAACGTGCTTGCAAGATCGTACGGTGGAAAATAAGCAAAAGTTTCAGAAAAGGTTATCTGTTATTTGTTATTTGTTCGACTGATTTTTCATTAATGTAATTTATGAAATGGCAAAATTTCAAGTTCTATCGCTAAAGCTTCTCAAGAAATTATTCAATTATCAGTTTAGGTTTACAATCTAGTTCCACTCGATGTTAAAAATCTCTTCAGTGAATTTGATAAACCCTGTCAATTATAAATAAGAGTAGCTGAAATTTCTCGATCGATGTCAAAAATCGATCTAGGGAAACAAAATTAATGTAAAAACAAAAAAAAAAGAAACAAAGCAAAAAACTTGAGTGTCTCTGTCTGGGTCTCATCTCCAATAGCAAGCAGCCGACAGTGCAGCGCGAGCCGCTGGCACGGTGTACCGCGTAGTCGCGGGTACGCAGAGTTTAGGTCTAGGCCTGAGTGCGTCGCGTGACATTGGTCCTGCCCCCGCGTCCAGCCAGATGATGCCCACGACCGGCGGAGGAGCCGCCGGTGGAGCCATGATGATGCCCGGAGCAGGAGGAGGAATGATGATGGGTGCACCGCCAGCCATGATGCCAGCCAAGAATAATGGCTCAGCCATGATGATGCCACCGGTACGGACTAGCGCTACCTCCCCGTACCCCCCTGTAATGTCTCTATACATCTATCACCACCACCCCCCCTATATACTGCAATTATATGCTGCAACGCCCGAGCGCGCCACTGCGCGCCACCCACAACACCTGTTCTCTGGACACTCGACCGCAATATAATGCAACCAACAATCAAACGAAACAAAACAAAAAAAAAACATGCCTCATTTGTTTGCTTCTTTGTGTATTTGAGTATTTATGAATAATTTTGACACCTCTGGTATACTGTTCTCGGATATATTTTATGCATTTATTATCATTTCCAGCACGTGACTTGGAATTAAAAAAAGCTTAAGTAAAATTTGATTTCTTGCGTCTGATTCGGTCGATACGGGTACATACTTATTTGTAACAATTTACTGAAACTCTGAGCCAAAAACAAATGAAATTCCGAAAGTGTCTGTCTGAGTGCGCGTCGCGAGTCACTTTCACGAAAAAGAACAACAGATTGCCCACGCGCGTCTTTGTCGACGATCAGACACAAGAAAAGGTACAATTTCCTTCAAATGATCTATCTCTTCTGCGCCTCTTTTCCTTTTTTTCGAGCGGCTGAAAGCACCGACACTTATTACACGCTTTATTGTGTACATTTACATGATGTATACGTAGCTATGGTAGTTTTTCTATAGCACATTAACTGCACGTATGTATTTTGCGCATGCACGTCGCCTCTCTCTCTCTCTTTCTGGGGGCTTTTTTGCATTTATAATATAATACCCCGACGCATCCTCGCACGACTCCAACAATTATACACCGTACTATAAGCTCTCTAAGACGCGAGAGATGTCTCGAGGATATACACATGCAGCAGCACAAAAACACACTTACGTGTGGGAGCTCTGACGGCATGCCAATGCCGCTCACACAACTCCAGCCATTCACCTCATAGACACGTTTTTCACTTAATGCGCGCATCGCTCGCGTGGGTTAATGCCAAACAACTTTATTTTGTGCACTTTCTTTTTAACTGACACGAGCAACGAGGTGAATCTTCTTTTTTTTCTTTTTCTTTTTTTTTTGTTTCTGTACATCGATCTGTTATACGTGTGTATATCCGTCATATTCTGCATAACTTTTACTTTTTACTCAACATACTTTACATATCACTTCCACACCAAGAACCTCATTTCCCACATTGTTTTTCATGTCTCGATTAACCATTTCATTAACTCATTTGTTTTTTCGTGTTCTTTTATTTTCAATGTAATACATTCTTTTCTAAGCATGATTTTCAATAATTAAATAATTCATTTCTTTTCGACTACTGATAAATAAATTATAACACTCACTCTTTAATCTATTGTCAAAGTTAACGTTAATCTCAATTCTTTAACCTAGATATTTTTTCACTCTTAGCTTTAATAGCAAACATGATTTTATTGTGCCTTCATTTTTTCATTAAAGTAGTTAAGCATAAATTGAATAATTTAGCAAACAAAGAGTTTTGCTTTGACTCATTGATTTTTTTTTCACTGCATCTCTTCGTCTTAATTTTAAACGATATAAGAAAACAATTTTTTTTTGATTTGATTAAAAAAGAATTCAGTTGAAAAATCATCACATCATCATCTAAATGTTACATACTCTTGACTGATAAAAAAAATTATGATGAAATATTATGATTATTCCTCGAATTTGACACTTACATGTTTATCCTTCATCTTCTCATCAATGTTATAACACAACTTCGAGAAAACATCTTCCGACTCTTTGGTTTTGACGTTTTGACGACAGTTTAATGGACTTGGAAAATGAAGATTTCATTTTGACCATGAAAGATTTACCTACTGTTGAAAAATAAATTATTACATCCATGCAAATTGTCCTTCTATGATTGCGTAATGTAAGAACTTCCACGACAATGTATTCTGTAATACATGAAAATTTTGCACTTTGTATGATTAGCGATTGAAATGTAATGTAGTTATTTCTTTGATAAGATTTGCAATTACCTCTGCAAATTTTGAGAAATTGTTGATGTAATGACTAAAGTCGAGCATCGCCAGAATTATTATTATATGCATTGCTTGTAGCAATCGTACCTGCGATATTCTTGAGCGATTTTACCCTTAGAGCAAAAAAAGCAACCAATGTATTGTGCCATGCAACCTGTAAAGATATTTGAACTACTACCCCAACTCCTCCAGCACTCCGAAAAAATGATCAACCAATTTTTTTGTCAATCCTTAGAAATGTATCAAGTAGTTATTATGAGCCAGATTATTATGATTCAGCAAGATGGGTTTTTTTTATTCTTAGAGCTCCACACAGTACTTTTGAAAAAAAAGTTAGCAAGAGCTTTTTAGTTTTTATACATTATCACGTAGGAATTGTTATTTTGTTTTATATTTTACGGTATTACTTATTTATTTTACGGTATTATTTATTTTTGAATTTTTTTTGTAATAAAAAAAAATAGCACGAAGCTGCAGGATCAATGTTAGATGAAGAAAGAATGCTGCGAAAGGAAAGATAATTTTTAGATTGGACGTAGAGATGCAGTGTGCGCACTCTGGTTAATTTTTCACCTATTACTTTTTCGTTTTACGTTTTTGTGAACAAGATATATTAGTGTATACTTGTACAATCACAATTGTAAATATTTCTAAGTTCTTTTATTTTTCGTTTTTTTTTTTAATTTCTGTTTCAAATGTTAGCGAATCGTTGGTACAGAAAAATCAAGTACACGCCAATTGTATGTTGACTCGACACAACAAACAATTAATTAACTGAACGTGTTAACATTAATTATTATTTTTATAAAAAAAAAAATATATACATGTTTCACTAACTATTTAAATTATTAATTTAGAGTGCGCACCCTATATTATGTTCTTTGTACTGTCTATTCAATATTGCAAGTTTCTCTGTTTTCTTTTTTCTCTGACTGTTTCATATGAACACAATTGAATCCTGCATTGCTTCGCAAGTTTGACTTTTACTTTACTTTTCTTAGTTAGCCAAGCGCCGAGAACCTGAAATTTCGGAAATCCTGTGTATGAATTTCAAAAATTGCTATGCAACTATCGCTTCATTAAATCCTGCATCGCAGATCTCTCAAACGAAACTACTAAATTGCAAAGATTCGTTCGAGCTCGAATTTTCCGGAATTTCAGGATATCATCGGCCGAATGATAATCGACTAGAGTCGGTCTAATAAAAAAATTGTGTAATCGTTTGCAGCTCGTTGCTGGAAGCGGAAGTAGCTCCAGCGGCGGCGATCCAGGAGCGGACGCCCCTACGCCCGGACCACAGACCGAGGCCGTGCCCGGACCCGTCACGAGGCTCTTCGTCATTGCCAATCGAGGAATTTCCAATCTCGTTCAGGATCTTATTCTGGTATAAACATCATACTATTTTGCTTGCTAATATATCGTGATAGGTTAATTTGTACGTTAACTAACGTTTATGTATGTGCGCGTGGCGCAGGAAACCTCTAACGTACGTTTCAAGTATCAATTTACAAACCGATATAAACATTGCACACACGACGCTCGAGTCTCTCGAGTTCAATGATTTCGTTTCGCTCTTATATTTACGTAATTCAAACGTATACGCGTAGTACATTATATTTGTTGATATAGAGTACATTTGTGTGTACGCACGTGCCGCTGAATTTCTATTATCCTCGATGCGGTGCACATACAAGACTTTTGCGCGTCGATCGTCTCGAGAATTTTAACATAAAAAATGTCAACGTGAATTTTGACGCTAACCAAGACCTTGATAATCGAACGAACAAAAAAAAGGCACGCAAAGTAAAAGGAATATCTTTTACCCAAAAAAAGAGTCGCGCGCACGCGATATAACGTCGATGAAAATAAAAATACAAAAAAAAGCCGCGAAATTTGAAGGACACTGCGTCTTTCCCTCTCACTTTTCCTGTCTCTTTGCCTGCCTTTGGCGCGTGTATAATGCTCGTATTAAAAGTAGCAGCAGCAGCAGAAAAAAAAAAGAAATTAAAGGAACGTTCGAGCTAAAGCGCCTTGCGCGCGCTATAATCGAGTATAGCCGGATTTATCAAGTCCGGCCCCGAAAAATTACATAAGGCCGATATACGTACGCTGCGTGTATATATATAGTGTACTGCACTCGCTGCTCGTGGAAAGCCTACCGCGCGCGAGGCGTGCAAAATTTCCTATGTGTGCGAGTATATGTGGCATTTCACGTCAACTCTCCCAGTGCCGCGCGGCGCGGCAGAATTAAGCCAAATCACTAAATTTGTGAATCGCTGTAAAAGTACTAAAATGCACATAGAGAAAAAAACGAACCCATGATTTCGATCGGAAATCGCCTCAGCTTTCCGATGGTCAGGTCAGATTTTCCGAAATTTTCCGCTTTACCCGGGAAAATCGCTGGGAAAACTTTAAAGTCGATTATCTCGAAAACTTCATTTTTAAGATTTTTTTAAATAGTCTAGATCGAAAGATCAGGAAATTTCCCATCGATATAGACATTTTCCAGAGAGGCGTTTTTTGATTTTAGCGAGATATAGCGAGAGAAAGAAGAAAAAACGTGGTTTTTTCGTGCGCGCGGGCGGTCGGACGCCACCAACCGAACAAAAAACCACGTTTTTTCTTCTTTCTCTCGCTATATCTCGCTAAAATCAAAAAACGCCTCTTTGGAAAAGGTCTATATCGATGGGAAATTTCCTGATCTTTCGATCTAGACTATTTAAAAAAATCTTAAAAATGAAGTTTTCGAGATAATCGACTTTAAAGTTTTCCCAGCGATTTTCCCGGGTAAAGCGGAAAATTTCGGAAAATTTGACCTCACCATTGGAAAGCTGAGGCGATTTCCGATCGAAATCATGGGTTCGTTTTTTTCTCTAGGTGTATTTTAGTACTTTTACAGCGATTCACAAATTTAGTGATTTGGCTTAATTCTGCCGCGCCGCGCGGCACTGGGAGAGTTGACGTGAAATGCCACATATGTGTGTTTGTATGTGTATTTGTACGCTACTTTCTCTACGAAATAGCCCGAGTATATATAGACTTATGCAAGTCTCGTATACGTGTGTCTATGTGCGCGCAGCTGTCTGCTACTATACCGATCAGTTTTTTTACATACACATACGTACACACGAAGGCACGTGAATTAGCGTGTACACACAAACGTACAAACGTACTTTATTCGTCGAAGAATTATGAGATGGAGAAATTGATAAGGGGGCCCCGCGCGAGTGATAAACATTGCGGTATTATAGTCCGGTATCAATTTTTCGCTGCTGCTACTGCAGCGACATATTACTGTAACGGGCGCGGACTTTTGAACTGAGCGTGAGATACGTGTCTGACGATTTTTTCCCCGTAACGCTGTCGCAATATGTCGTTTTTAAACGGATCTACTTAATATTCATTGTTCGCGATTAGTAGCAAACAAAAAAAACCAAAAAATATTTATCGTGGACTCGAGTAAACAAAAAAATAAATATACAAATGTAAATTGATTGTTTCACTTTTTAGAAAGTAAAAATTTTCAAAAGTTGATGATATTGAATTTGTAATATTTAATGTCCGAGCCGATATTACGAAACGCTCGTAACAGGATGAATCGATGAATTAAAAAAAAGAATTATAATAACGAGTTTTACAGTCACGAGTTCGAGGAATAGTTAATTTATTTATATGTATAATTAAAAAAAATAAAAAATATTTTTTCTTTCACTGATTTGAAACCGATACATCGTCGATCGAGTAGATTCGCGGTTGTGTCGAGCAACCACACGATGTAGACAGAAAAAACATCGATTTGCGAATGTTTATGCACGGAAAGAGAAAAAATTGACCGTACACACGTGTGTGCAATTTTTACGAGAAATAAACGTTTCTCAATGGTACCTATTTGCACAATTTACAAGACACACGACTACATAGCAATTGGCAATTCTCGTCGGATTCGCAGCTAAAAGCGCATCGGGTTCATGGATGAAAATATTAGAGCAGCATATATTACATTGATCAGCATGAAAATGAGATTGAAAAAGTCGAGTGCATCAAGAACTCGTATAAAAACAATATGCTACACACAATAAAATCCGACTACGTACATAATTTTCTCTTTTCAACGCGTCTACGTTGAATAATAATATTTCTTTCCTCTGTTTTTTCTGCTCTTCCTCGCTTCATCCGCGTATATACACCCGGAAAAGACTCTAGCTTCCGTGTCGGAGTACGCGCGCGAAACGCACAAGAAGTATTTATTGACGAATCTGAGAAATCATCGCCCGCGCGCGTTCGCGTATTGTTACTGTTACGAGTAGTATTATAAAATTGAAAAGTTTTTTGTTTCTACGATATACTTACTCACACTTGGTTTTTTTTCTCCACAGCGTCTGGCCGCAACGAGCGAGCGCATCGTCAACTTCAAGGCACGACTCATCACCTCCATCATCTAAGCACGCCTGATAGGAGAGAAGAATCCTGATGCACAAAACGAATCTCTTACCATCTCGACGACGAGGACGACGACGGCTTATCTGGTCATAAGCCACAGCCACACACCATTAATTATCATTTATACATTAATAGGCAACAAGAACAACGATTGATTATTTGTCTCGATTGCTCTCGAGAAAACTTTGTCGTGTAGATTTACATGTAATAGGCTTTCGAAGCTAATTATGATTGTGTAAAAATCGAGAGAGAGAGGTACACACGATGTATTTGAGCTCTCGAGGTTTCGCGAGTTATTTTTTACAAGAAATATTAAAATGTTAATTAAAGAAAAAAAGAAAAGGAAAAATGGACCACGGGAACGACGATGGCAACGTTGCACACGCGCGTCACGTACTTTTATATATACCATGATGATATAATATATTCTGATAACTTTTTGTTATTGTAATCTCTTCTATGGATCGGAGCTATATACATTTTGCAAGATTGTCATATTATAATAATATAATATTATTATTGTAGCATAGCTAGGTGTGTGTAAAACGATATAAATAGTATTTGAATTGTGACGTTGCTCTTTGTGCCCGCGCGATCCAAGATAAAAGTGCGTGAAAATGTTGTTTGCTTGTTTGTTTCCTTTTTTTCATTTTTTTTTTTTTTTTTTTTTTTTAATGTTCCAATGGTAGAGGCAAAAAAAGTTCGGGTACTTTCAGCTTTCGATCTATACAGAGCGAAAGCTATACTTTTGTCATGTAATAAGCTATAAGTAAATAATAAACAATTAATAATGGTATAGAAATGTGGGAATTAGCATAGACAAGGGGGGGCTAACATACCATGTGTTACTCGAAATTTTCATTGAGGCTTCTATAATATGATGCGTACTCGCGCATACGCACCGTGCGGCGGTGAAATTGGCAACTGCATATTACTCACCGAATACACTTCTTACATTTCGGATTTCCGCAAGATAATTTTCTGGACTTTCTAAAAAAGTTTTTTTTCTCTTTTTTTATTCTGACTTCGGAGCTACGAGTCTCTCTTCCGTAATAAATCCCTCTCGTGCGCGCTTTATTAGGATATATTATTCATTTATTATCGAGCAAGATGCGACGGAAAATCGTGCACATTACACATAAACTTGCGGATGCACAGACTCGCTCACTCATGCACGTGTGCACATTTTGTGCATATGCAATATGCGTAATGGCCAAACACGCGCGCGCGCACAATCACGCCGCACTCGCGCAATATATGAATATGTATAAAATTGTGATTACGCCGAGTAACTTTTCCTCGCGCCTTTGCACATGCACTCGCACTCACACTTTTACAGGCACACAGATAAAGCTAAAACTTTCTTCTTCTTTATTTATTTATTTATTTATTTTATTTTCTCTTCTTTCGCGTTGTCAATTTTCGAACGATTCGACGAATTTGAGAAAATGTCGTGACGATCGTATCCTGCGTGAGAGTGTTTAATTGATAAATGTATGCCTACTATACCGCCTATACTGTTCTTCGTTTTTTTTTTCTTTTCTTTTTTTACATAATTGTATTACATTAGGTCGCGCAAAACGACACACGATGCGTTTCGGGCGTTGCTCCAGAGCGCAAACACGTGCATATAAGTGCCAGGCGTCGATTGTAGTTTTCTTTTTCTGTAAATGAGAAAAACAAATAAAAAAGGCATGTTACCTAGAGGTGTGTCCATGAAGGCTTTGTAAAAGTTGTAATTGGTTAATGGAAGTGCTATACCAGAGGTACGAAAGTTTGATTATTGTTCTGTTTTTTTTCGAGCGTCGAAAAAAGTGCTATCCATCCGACATCGGGAAAACGTAAATGATTATCAAATTATGTAGATTTTAAAAGAGGGAAAAATTATGCTTATACGTAGAAAACTTGCCCAAATCATGATGAAAATGTAAAACTCGTCCCACACGCTTCATTTTTTACTTCATAAGTTCAGCAGTATAGAATTTATAATTTTAACGTTTATCATTATTATATTTTTTTTCTGATCCTGTGGAGGAAATGAGTTTTTGGAGTTTAAATATCGTCGAGAGAGTATACGTATCTCTGGGCGATTGGTGATTCTGTAAGAAATGATTCTATGTGTACATTTACTTTGTTAATTTGTAGTGTAAATAAATTTTATTATAAGAACATTAAAAAACCGATGCTGTTCATTGTCAATATATACAATTTTCCGCATAAAAAAATATTTACAATTCTTGTCGAGTCTCGTATTTCTCCGATCCCTTTACATCAAATTTCGGAACTTCTCGTTAGTTTTTATCATGGGACCCGTCAGCTTCTTGTCGGATCTGACGTAAACCGGATCTCCCTTTCGTATGGGACCGCCTGAATAACGCAGCCCCAAGTGTATACCGATACTCGGAAAACCTCTGAACGCATTCTCGACCTCGTGATTGAGGAAGAATCGATATCTGCGAAACAAAACAAAAATTTCATAAAAAAATGAAGTAATATTCGAATTTCCGCTACTAAGCAAGCCTGTCAATTAACCGTCTCATTATACTGCGTAGCTCTAACTCTTTTTTTCGGCCCGATTCAGTGTGAGGGCCCATGTCGTGGTCCCGACCGCACGGCATCACGTTTTGAAAGATGCATTCGCCGATTCGAACAGTTTCCCAGCTGTCCTCTTCGTAGGCTTTGGGACCGGAGACCACGATATTGGGCATCAATTGCGACACGTTCACGGGCGCGAAGAGGAGCGTATTCAGATCGTCGACCGAGGCTTTATTTTCCAGCGTGTAGCTCGTGCCGTCGCCGAATGCACCCTTATGGAAAAGAAAAAACGATCGATCATCACGGGCGTATTTTAACTTACACAAAAAAAGCATCGAAATCATTACGGTATCCTTTATCGTGTATCTATTGAAAATACTGAATTTTTTCCAAATTCTCCTCTCTATATCGTCCGACGGCCAAGTGACTAATCTGAAGCTGGTATCCATCCCACGAAGATACCGGGACAACCACTGGGCAACTTCGTCACCGCAATCACGGGCGAGCGTACCGTCGGCCAATATTCTTAATTCGAATGGACCCTCTTTCAACTTGCTCAAATCCATCATAAAACCGTCACGATGGGTGTACGTTAGAACCAGTATGGATTCCATCATGCACGGTTGAATCTTGCAAATAGAAGGTCAAAAAAACATTAAAAAAAATATGCCTCGATTCGAACTACAATCATTACTCGGTTCACGTACATTCCTTATTTTACGATCCTTGTCGGGATCGACGTAATATCCGCTGAGATCGACGACCGCGAAGTATCTGTCTCTCAGCCACTCGTCGTGGCAGAGTCCCCTGCGATGGCAGTAAGCGCTATCGAGTCTTATTCCGCGCATGCTTCTGACCGGATAAACGATCAAATTGTCGACTTCGCCCACTTTGTGCCACCTCCAGTTCTTCATTTCGTTTTTCTCGTCCCTGTGTCGCTTCCATTTCAGATATATCTCTTTGGCGGCGTGCAGCGATGGCAATGGGTGTCCGGTTCTTCTCCACTGTTTCCAGAGCAAGTAAGCCAACAGACTGGCTTCGCTAAGCAGCGTGAAAGAGTAAAAAGCTACTTTCGTTGTATCTGAACAAATGGATCGAACGACGAAGTGCGTTGAGATTATTTGTAAATGCAGTGCCCATATTGTATCGATACATTCGGTTTTTTGTACTTACTCATTCTTGTATTATTTTGCTTCGATAAATTTAACCGATTTGAAAATTAACATCTGCGATAGTAGTTTTTTTTCATAAAATCGCTATTGACGAGTGTGTAATAACGCGTGCTTGTATAGGCAGCTGTTGCCTACAGACGACTATAAACAAAATATCGACTTCTAGTGTATTGACACTCGAACACAAAATATCATCCTACGAGTGTACGTAATATTTACATTTCTGGGATACGAGAATGATTATGACAAATAGCAGTGAAGATTTAGATTTTACAACAAATTTGTATATTTTTGTAAATTCTTTGTACGGTATATTGATGAATTTTTACATAATTGTAATATCGTTGCTGTAATGAGCATAATTCAACATTGGTTATATTCAATGACTACGCGATAACACTAAATATTCACGGAATACAAATATTTTCGTATACATTTTTAAATACTTATTTTCATTCAACCATTAAAAATTATTAGCCATCAAAATGCCGAAAGTTAGTGGAAAATCAATATTCATTTGTGGCTTATGGATTGTCACTCTTCATTGTGCATAAACGTAGCTTATTATAATGTTATATTAAAAAAAAAACATTTCAATTCCTCTCACAGTCTCATGATTGAACAAACTTATTTTCATAACAAACGATATAGTCATAGGCTCTTTTGTATGATTATAATTCCAATTATGTGGCACTTTTTTGGTCTATTCGTCGTTTTGGTCAAATTTAATTGAACGTTCGTGTAATAATACTCGGATTCAAAGGTCCTTATATACAGCGAGGCTCCTGCTTATTCGTCGTACGAGAAGAAAAGATCGTCCTCGTCGTAGCAGGAGCCCCACCGGTGATGTTATGGTGGCGAGGTGAGAGTCGTCACTTCCTCCGTGACGCCGACGTAGACGGGATCGCCGAGGTGCACTTTGACTCCCTCCTCGCTGCGCAGACCCAAGTGAATGCCCATTACCGGGCTGTCAAGGGTGTACGGTTTCAGTTCAGGGTCGGTAATTGCACGATACCTACATGTTTAAAAAACGTTATTAGTTTACGTGAAAAAAATTACAATAATCATACGACTCTTACTTCCTCAACGTCTTCAGCGGCTCCATTTTCGGATGCTTCTCGCCCTTTTCCGGATTCACGGTGGTGAATATGCAGCGAGTGCAGGGCTTGACGTTGCGAAAGACTACCTGACCGATTTTAATCCAGTCCCAGGAGTCCTCCTCGAGAGGCTCAGCACCCTTGACGACGAAATTGGGCCTGAAGTTCAACGGCGTCACCGGATCCTCGATGCGCCCGTTCAGATCGGCGATCGACGCCTCGTTCTCGAGCGTGTAACTCGTCGCGTCCGGGTAAGCACCCTTGACAAAGAAAAAAGCAACGTATAAATTGTCAATGATAATTCACAGATCTCTGTACATCATTACTTACCGTATCGGAGTCATCGGTGAGAGGGAACGGCTGATTCTGTTTACGCACCTTGCGCGCGGGCTTGTTGAGCGGATAATATACCAGTCGGAGGCCCGCGTCCTCCTGGAGGAGGAAGCGCGACAGCCATCGGGCGACCTCCTCGCCGCAGTCGCTCGCCGGAACGGCCTGGCCCCAAACCGACGCCCGGAACTTGCCGCTCAGCCGGGCCAAGTCAACCGACACCGACATCATGCCGGGGGCTTTTAAGGTCAGCACCGAGCCGGCCACGCTCGGCGATATCTGCGTTATTATCGTTAATGAGGATCATCGTCGGTGAAAGTTCGAACAAGTTTCAATTAGAATGGACGCGACGAAGAAGAAAAGGTATCGTTAGAAGTGCTCGACTAAAGAGACCCGCTAATTGTTCCTTAAAACGCGACCGCTAAACGTTCCATTTTTCTCGATGCTAAGCGCCTATTAATTTTATAATTTGATCTTTGCAATGCGTGAGCCTTTTGATAAAAAAATAATAATGTTCACTGACGTTGCTAAATCTTTTGGAAAAACGATTCCGAGCTCTTGCGCGGCTGCCGGAAAAAAGGATATACAATTATAATGTACCGCTAATATTTTTCACATCGTGGGGCATTATTACTAGTACCGTTAGGCCTTCAAAGTACATATACACACAATAATATGCGCGTGCAGCATCTGTGAAGCGAGCCGAGGAAAACACAATTTATACATTTACACACACGTGCGTGTATTATTATTATTCATAAACTTTAATGAGCTTTTAATTTTTTTCTCTGCGTGTATTTCCCCGCACACTAAAATCGTCATTATCACGCTCTAATTCGCCGCTCGATGCAATAATTTTCACTCGTGCATACCTGAACCATCCTCGGGTACTGTCTACCGGTGACGAATCGGCCGTTTAAGTCGATCACCATCAGCGTCCTGTCCCTGAGCCAGCCGTCCTTGAGGCCCAGCTGAGTGCAGGTCATCTCGCTGAGTCTCACGGGCCCGAGCGACTTGACCGGGAAACAGATGAGATCGCTCAGCTCGCCGACTTTGCGCCAGCGCTTGGGCGGCCGGTGCTCCTTTTGGCGCCTGGTCAGCCACAACCAGACGAGAAACACGGCCGTGCCGGCGCCCACCGCCACGGCGCTCACGTAGGCGAATCTCGCGCGATCTATATATCGGGAAAAGAATTGGAGTTTGATTTCAAAGGGGCGGATTTTTTTTTTTTTTTATTGAACCCGAGCTTCCGATCTAGCTAGTGTAACTGCAGATTTCTCGACGCGATACGTGGCAATCAACTTTGATAACAGTATTAGAGAGAGCATAAAGTGAAAAGCGAATACGCAGTTGCAAAGTCTGTAATCGGAAGTACGTTAGTGCATCCACATGTCATTTTGACATTTTTTTTCTCTCTCTCTCTCTCTCTCTCTCTCTCTCTAGACGATGAAAAAAAATTTAATAACTGCCATGCGCTCTGAAACGCTCCAACGACGTGGAGTATATATTATAGTAAGTCATAATACGAATATATGAGCGAAAAATGTGGAGCAGCGTCGGAAAAGCCGCTATTAAAAAAGAGCACAGAGACACAGAGGAGAGGCAGCTAGAGGGAACTTTTGCTACGCTTATTGTTCGTTCATAAAACGAGAAAAGGCTAAGCTATATTGCCGGAGGCAAAAGGATATATAGATGTTATAAAACGTGTATTGTGTATGCCCTTGCGTTATGTTGAAAATGTCATGATTATCCATTATTGCGAAATGATTTATTCGAGAAATTATTTGGTTCTTCAATTTATGATAAAAATAAATGTGAACTCAGCAAATGTGTATCTTCCGATAATGTGTTTAATGTAACAACAAATGACTGGGATAACTCTGGATTTCTTATATTTCTAACTCATGAACTGATTTTTGTGTAGTCACAACTATCTATATTACTTTCAACTTTATTTGAATTGAAATCATTTCAATTTTAAATCTCGCTTTAGATAAAACAAAGATCTTGTACTAAATCGTAAAATATCGATGATTATTAGCTTATAACGTAGAGTCGAGTGCAAAATTTTTTCATAACTCGATAAAAATTAGATAAAACTTACCCATCTTTGAAACTGATCGACCTTGAAATCAATGTACAATCGCGACTCTCTTTCGAAGTATCTCTGCCACTGTCCACGCAGCTAATTACGGTCACAGACTGTTCAAATATCCATAATTCGCGTTTATTTATAACTCGATCATCGATGAAATTCGATAATGATGATAAAAAAAACCAATATCGAAGCTGCGCGAGTGCGTGATACGAATTTATGCGTGTAGCGAATGCCGGCTCTCCAAGTACTGCGCGCGACGATGGTCTCGTGCTCCGCCGTCAGTAACGAATGTGTGCGTGTGTGTATATGTGTAGTGTGTACTCTTGCACTCGCGCGTCTGCTACTATACTATATACACATCGAACACTGTTGCTTCTCTAAACGCCGTCGCCGCCACTGACACCACCGCCAAGTAGCACTTTTTTCTCGTTTTTTTTTTTTTAAATATTTCACACGATCTCTCGCACACGCACACCTGTACCTATTCGCCTGTAACTTTCGTTATTAACATCTTCCTATTTTATTTCTGACACTCAACTTTGCCTCCTCTCCCTCCTGCAGTACTTTTTTCACCTGACGCGAGACGCCAAGAAGAGAGTCACGAGTCGCGGTGCACAGCTTTTACTCCGCGGCACATCGGAGCGTATTGTATACACGCACCGAGTTTTTATGGCAAAAAGACTCGAGTAGTGTAGTAGCATATATTTTGATATCAAGAGCGCAGGCGTGGCGTACTACTACAAGACTCGCCGGTTCGATTCGACTCGTCACTCGATGTATAATACGAAACAAAAGGGAAATACTCGAGCGAGGGATGGAAATGTGCGCGGGGGATGCTGCATGTATATAGTAAGGGTCGAATGACAACAAACCGCGCCTGAGCAATGCTACGTATATAGCACGCAGCGAGTTTGTTGGCCTCTGAATCGGACGTATTGATTTGACAACTGACACGAGTAAATCATACAAAATAATTTTCCAAATTTCGAAGCAATATTTATAGTTGAAACTCAAATCATCGTAAATTGTAAATCCATTCATCGATTAAAAATAAAATTATCACCAATCCCGTGTAAAACTCGATTCTACTCGAACAATTCAAATCTCTTGCTATTCTTGTCTTTGCACGCAACGGTATATCGATATTGGCATCGTGTAGGTTTCTTCCAGACTGCTCCTCTGCTGGTCGATAAGTGGTGCTCTCTGCAGGCCGCAAAGTCAAGTTCGCGCGCAATCCATCGTGACGTATCGTAGCAGAAAACGCGCATCGCCACTGCGAGTATAGATATTTCAATAATAATACTGGTGTACTTACTGCTATACGCGAAAGCACATCATGACACATACATAACTCCTATCCCACCACAAATGCTGCTATGCTTATATGTGTACGCCTCTGCTCTGTGTCGTACTGAGTGGACTGCGACTGAGCCTATCGTTGCCTAGCGTGTATCGGTGTATACGTCGTTGTGCACTCGACGTGTTTTCATAGTCGAGCTCAAGTTCGCATTGTTTTTTTCGCTCTCTGCCCATTGTTCGCAGCAAACGGCCAAGGACCCCAAACACCCAACAGCTAAAGGAATTTTGATTTATTTCGTTTGGACTCGAGATTTTAGCTCTACCTCTTGACCAAAGAATTCTCAGTTTTCTTCTGGTTAATTGGACATCTATAGCCAGCAGTACATACAAGGTGAGTAACATGCAGTAAACCCGTATTGCATTTATTGCTCCTTGCAAGCGAGTGAGTGTGTGTAAGTGCGGAGTCGTTACGTGAGCCTGTGTTTTGCGTAGACGTCTTTTTTTCCACTGATGAATATTTTCTAGATTCGCACTGGTCGCGGAGAGCTGTTTTTCTATTAAGTACAGAATCACGGGCGTTTTGACACATTGATTATTCTGGCCTGCGACGACGAGGTTACAACAATATAGCTGATTGTCGTTTCGTTTCTTTCTTCTGTTTTTTGTGTGAATAATTCAATTACGTGATTGTTTTTTGTTTGTGAAAAGTTCGGTGACTTGATTTTGTTTTACAGTGCAAGAATTGAGATATTATATTGTTATTAAACTTGTGCTTGACGTCCAAGCACTTTTTTTTGCAAACCATTGAAATCTGATAAGGTAGCACTAACTGGATTGTATTTCTCATCTCAAATGGTTATATAAATCTGGAGTCTTGCACAATTTGATATGCAAACTGGTTATTGGAGAATATAATGCACATTGAAATGAAGAATGATATTGGTCTTTTGAGTTAAAATTGTCACTAATAAAGAAACTTTCTTTACAGAAACCACCATGCCGCTCTTATACAGTGTGATTTCAAGAGGCCCGACCGTGCTGGCAAAATATGCAGCATGCGCTGGAAACTTTGAAGAGGTTACAGAGCAAATCCTTGCCAAAATACCACCGCAAAACGACAAAATGACTTATTCGCAAGGACCATACTTGTTCCATTACATTTATGAAGATTCCATTATTTATATGTGCATTACAGATGATGTGAGTATATTATATAACATACCATTTATGGACAGTGATATTTCAAACTTGTTTTGTATTACACAGGATTTCCCAAGATCAAGAGCTTTCCTGTATTTAAATGAAGTTAAGAGACGATTCAGAACAATGTATGGCGATGGTGCTCAAACTGCATTGGCTTATTCAATGAACACTGAATTTGGAAGAGTTTTAGCTAATGAAATGGTATGAAAACTCATTCTTAAATTATGAAAGCTTAGAAAACTTATAATGCTAATATTATAATATTTTTGCAGAAACATTATAGTGAATCTAAAGATTTGGATACAATTTCAAAAGTTCATGGAGAGTTAGATGAACTTAAGGATATTATGGTAAAAAATATTGACAATCTTGCTATGAGAGGAGAACGCTTAGAGCTACTTGTAAATAAAACAGAAAACCTGACAAATAACGTAAGCAGTGCACATTCATACTTTTAAAATAATAAAACAATTATTATAATTATAAACTTAATTGATATTACTCACAAATAATGTTCCATTTGACAGTCTGTGACGTTTAGAAAATCCAGTCGTAATTTAGCAAGATCACTGTTCTGGAAAAATGTAAAAATGTATGTTGTTTTAGGCCTGATATTAATTGTAAGTATACAAGCAATTATTTTAAATTAAGTATTTATATTTTTATCAATTTCAAAGGTAATAAATTTTCTTTTTCTTTTCAGTTTATAATTTATGTTATTCTTGCCATATCTTGTGGAGGACTTGGGTTGCAAAAATGTGTGTCAAGCTCATAAGTTAATCAACTGTGCAAAACTAATCACTTTTTATATATTATATAATGAACACTCGCATAAATAATTTTATATAAAAAAAACTAACAAAATATGTTATCATTCCTAGATGAAAAAGGAAAAAATGCAAAAAAATTGTACATAAGCTATTCTCTGCTTGAAATAAAAATATAAATGACAAGTATAAGTGCAGTCAACGGTAATAATCGAATGTGGTACTTTTAAAAAGAGACTTGTTGAATTTTTAAATTTTGTACAGCTAATTTAAATTGTGCATTTTATTTACATTTTCATTTTTGTGATAGTTATAGTCTTAACATAATAATCAAAGATTATTGCTTTAATTATATTTAATATTCAAAGATTATTTTATACTCTATTATTATTACATTCGGCATGAACGAAAATAAAGAAAACTTAAATAAATATGTATTGTAAGTTCAATAAATTTTAGAATATCAATACCAATAGTGTTGAAAGAGACTATTGCATTTTCACAATCGTTGTTATCATCGCCTTCATTGTCGCATACATTATGTTATGCTTGTTCACAAGCAACAGCTTATTGCGTTATCTGTACGGCTTTGTGACGTGTAAGGATTATTCAAGAGCTTTTTATAAGATGAGTTGACCAAAATGTAGCTTTAGGCATTACGACAAGAATCAATGATTTTTTATATTCATTGGTTGAGACAATAAAAAAAGTTATTTTTCCAGTGCACATGATCTGATTTCGAAATATTTGAGAAACAATTATAGTAACTACTTCTTACTAATTAAAATTTACTAGTTTTTACTAACTATAGTTACCTTTTTTGTACTATATTCATTTATGGAAATATAACGTTTCGTTAATCTGAATACTCTAAAGAAACACCTCTCATTTTTGTCTGCCTCGAATACGCGTCTTATATTTATCCAAGATAATGTCAGTTGCCGGATGTTATCACTTCTGAGCAACACGAATGTCGAAGCGTTCCACAAGTTATGCAAATACGCATCTTACGAGTAATTTTTAATACATGTTAGCTCACAGGTATCACCTTACTTCAAATTTTTCTTTGATTACCGAAACAATGATATCACGATGCATTCACTGTTTTTATTTCAATTATAGTCGAAATTAATCGACGTAAAAAAAGAGAAGTCTAGAAATAATACTCCATAGCCAGTTCGAAACGAGGAAGTAATTATTATTGATTTTTTGAACAATTTTATAAATCACATTTGTCATTTTGTTGTTGTTTTTTGTTATTGTTTTTTTTCTCTTTATTACTTGGCAAAAGACAAATAATCAGCGTTGCTATAATATATTTGATTTTCCTCTTTTATCGATTAAAAATGTGTCACGGTCCTTATTTTTTATGTAAACTATATAATACATGCGGACAAGTGGATGACGATATCTCTGCCCCTATGACGGCAAGTTAAATAATTGAATTGTACGGTTGGCTACAAGTTTCTTGTTTATCGTGGTAAACGATATTCATCGTATTTTTATCAGACTTTTTAGGCGTTTCCCCCGTTGCCCCCGTTACCACCGTTGCCTCCATTTCCCCCGTTTCCGCCGTTGCTGGAGTCGGTTGTTGCGTCTCCACCGTTACCGCCATTACCACCGTTACCACCATTTCCTCCGTTATTACCACCAGGCTGCTGTTGTTGTTGTTGCTGCTGGTTCTGATGTTGTTGCTGTTGTTGCTGCTGTTGTTGCTGTTGCTGCTTTTGTTGTTGTTGCCATTGCTGCTGCTGTAGTTGCTGTTGTTGTTGCTGTTGTTGTTGTTGTAATGCCTGCAATTGTTGCTGCAATTGTTGCTGTAATTGCTGATTTAATTGCTGCTGCTGTTGCTGTGATTGCTGTTGTTGTTGCTGCTGCTGTGAATGTTGCTGTTGCTGATCGCGTTTGTTCTCTTCGGAAGACTCTACACTGGATTCTCCTCTACCACCTTCGCCTCCTCTGCCCCCTTCGCCACCGGCTCCTCCAGCTCCGCCTCGTCCGCCTCGGCCTCCTAGTCCACCGAGTCCACCGCGGCCACCCCTGCCGCTTCTTCCGCTGTAATAGGCGCCTCCATCACCTCCGGCACCACCCTTGCCTCCGGCGCCTCCCTTGCCTCCTCCGACTCCGCCACCACCGTGTCCACCCTTACCACCGGAACCACCGGAACCTCCAGCTCCGCTCAGCTGCTCGCCATTGGGGCCAAATTGTCCGGGCTTGCCCTCCTCGCCCTTTTCTCCCTCCGTGCCGGGTTTTCCGGGATCACCGCCCAGCCCACCCAAACCTCCCTTGCCACCCTTGCCACCGGGCACCTTTGGTTCCTTGGCCGACGAATCACTGGCAACACCTTTATCACCTTCGACCTTTTTCTGCTGCTGTTTCTTCTTCGGCTCCTCGACCTTTTTTGGAGGTTGGCTCGTAACTTCCGGAGCCTTGGTCGTGTCTTCCGATTCACTTTTTTGTTCTTTCGGCTTTTCGACGGCACCCTTATCCGCTTCACCTTTTTTCTCTTTGCCCTTTGGCTGTCCAACGACTCCACCACCAATGTCGACCTCTACGAGACCCAAATTGCAGTAACCCGAGGTAAAGGTCACCACGATCACGCACGCAAACAGAAGTAACTTTAAATTCGGCATAATGCGCGTCTCATTTAGCAATCGACGCGAGACTCACAAATGATTGATATAATTCGGGCGAAATGCCTTTATACCTTTTTCCGCAAAATAAAAAAGCTATTCTTATCGGTGCCTCGTCGTTGTCGTCACTCGCGACTGCAGCAGCGGCAGCAGCTTTTGCATAAAGAGACGCACATGTCTATCGTCAACTAATAATCACGCGTGTGATGTCATTCAAAAGAAAAATGTTGCTCTGTCCCTGTTGGGTCTCGCAAATCGTCCCACGCGTAAACAACGTACAGACTTACTACGTATACGTTTATATACGTATATACATGACAATCATTGAAAGGCAATCTTGCTCTTAATGAATAAAAAAGTAAAAAAAAAATATGTACTCGACTCGCACTCGTTTAAATATTTATCGGAGCCCGGTTTTCGCATATATTTACGTCTCTTAGTTTGTGCGTGAGCGTGTGTGTGTCGTGTGTGATAGTATCGAGAGTTGTTTTAATTAACGCCAGAGAACGTTTCCACTCGCACGAATGGATTTGTACTTTTGTGTTTCGAACTTTTCTCTCTTTTTGTCGCGATCTCATGTCGGTACAAAGTTCATTGTTTATGTTGACAAGAGCGTCGATGAAATTTTGCACGCTTATCGTGCATACAATACATAAACTTTCGTCGCGTTTGATGATTGCGAAACGATAAAAAAAATTTAATCGACAATTAATCGCTAAGTAACAAGTGCATTTGTCTTCCGAGAAAGGCGGAATCAAAGGCAATAAAACGTGCTTGCCAACGGCACCGCGAAACTCATCTCCGCCCCTGAACCCCATGCATATAATATATCGTAGCCTAGCAGAGAAAGTCTGTTCTCGCGGCTACGACCCTCGCTTCGACCTATACCTATATTATACCACGAGTAACGCACCTACGTGCGATATTATACGTTGCTGCTATACAGACGTATAGCTGAGAGAGCGAAAACTCTCCCTCTCGTTTCTCGTATATGTATATACGATACGAAACGCTTGTGCGGGAATCGACTCTGCTCTACGCGTGCACGAGTTCTGTGTGTGTACGTGTAGGTGGAGGGGTGTATAGTATCGCGCAAAAGCCCCATAGGACGACGTCCCATTCGTGGTGGTGCGTCGTCGTCGTCTTTGTGCGCGTTCCGTGTTGTATACTTACTCACCGGAGCGGGGGTGGTATACAATATATACATGCGAGTATGTGTGTGTGCTGCGCAACGCACTCGCTCTTACACCCACGATACGGGATAAAACAGAACGAGATAGAGCACACAGATGCGAGGGAGAGAGAGAAAGAAAGAGACAGAGGACCCGGGCGGCATTTGGGGCTCGCGCGCGCGCCCTCGTCGTCGTCGTCGTGTGTGTGTGTGTGTATAACACACGATGACTCGAGCCGGCATGCTGCTACTGCTGCTGCCAGCGTCTCTCTGTTGCGCCGTCGACGCAGCGACGTCGGCGCCCTTGTATCAACAAGTCGTGCACCGATCGGCTCTTTCGAATTAAAAGAGAGACGGCGTGAAAAAAAAAAAAAACATACACAGACACACGTTATGTGGTCACGCGAGCGCGTACTACTGTATCGTCGCGATAGGTGATTATCGCAAAGATATCAAAACGACATAGCCGCGTGTTTCTATAGAAATCTGTCGAACGATCAGACGTTGCGATGCCTTCGACTGTGGCTGTGGTTGTGCTTTTCGGGACTACTTTGCACGTGTAGAAGTACGAGCCTTTCTCTCAGTTTACGGTGTGCTTGCTTTGTGTGTCGGTGCCTGCTATAAGTGCCGCTGATGCTGTACATGTGTGCTGTACATCAAACGGCGTCGTCGTGGACGTCGGCGTCAACGCCTTAACTCCGGGCGATACAGCACGTTGTTAAATTTGTCATGAGAGCGAGCCGCTATGGGAATCGAGTCGAAGAGTAAGTTGACAAAACAAAAGTTTTAACGTATCGATCGAATGCATGAAAATATTATTTTTCGAATAGACAAGATAGGAAATTGAACCGTCGATCTCAGATTACGAGCGCAATGATTTTAGTTGCGTGAGGATTGTTTTAATTGTTACTACCGCTGAGAGATAAAAGAAATTTACGACCGCATCTTGACTAATGATATCGTTGGCTTCAAGTATTTCGTAAGCCGCTATCAAATTTTTATTTGGACGTAAGCTGTCGAAATTCATACCTGTCATAATTTATTATAGTCGTATTAAATATAATATATCATAGTTATAGTACATATAGCCGTACTAAAAATAAAACTACGAATGCAAACAACCTCTAACTTTTATTTTCCATAAAGCTGATTGAAAAAAATCCACTTCATTAAAAATAAAGCGCGCACTCTGCGGCTCCAATGAGGCAAAAGAGATAGAGACTAGACTAGAGAAAAAAAGAAAAACTTCGTCAAATCCTGTGTCCGTATGTATATAAAACGCGCCCGAGAAAATCTCAGTATATAGTAGTAGGACGCTCGAGCACAGAAGAAAGAGAGAGAGAAAGAGAGAGAGCGAGAGAGGAAAAAGCGTCGAATGCACAATACGCGCATTACCGAGTTTTCAAGCTCGACATCCTCTTCCAACTTTTTATCACATATATGCGCATATAACGTATTCGCTTTACACTGAGCCATGGGATGATTCAAAAAGCCCTTCATAGTCCATTCAGGTGCAGTGTAACATAGAGATCATGTATATAATACGGTACGCCGGCGCTCCATATATTTCACGCGCTCATTGTTCGACTGTCGTCCTTAAACGCGTGCGTGTATGTGTGTGTGTACAAAGAAGCTTTTTCTATTTGCAAAATCTCTTTCTCTCTCTTTGCTATGAATCCAGAGCAGACCCAAAGCACACACATCCGGCCGTGTCAGACGTGCTAGAGTACATATATCTCAAGTATATAAGCTCGAGGCTGCAAGCTCTGTGGGAAATCCGATGCTCGAGTGATTTTCATAATTTCATCTCGTGTCCCAGAACCCGATACCCCTTTACAACGCGTCAACGGCGTCGGCGTCAGTGCAAGAGTGCACGATGATAAACAAAGATAACGACGAAAAGGAGCTCCGCGAGAGAGCGAGAGACAACAGAGCTTGCGACGCGCGTAATACACAGGAGGCCGCCTCGGAGCTTGTAATACGTTCATAATCGGGCTTAATGCACGCGCGTGAAACGAGAAAATCGACTGCTTTCGCGATCGTTAACTCGATCAACGGTGTACGTACAGGATTTAATCGATCCGACTTTTGAACGCGCGCGACAAAAAGCTCCCGGTACAGCGCGCGCCCCTAACTGCACGCGACACGCGATAACGATAAAAGGCTGTTACGTGTTACATAATGCCTCGTCGATTATCCTCGTGCCTCTGTGAAAATCCTATACTCAATAGTCTGTATATAATTAAATGACGCGCCGTGAGAGCTACAATGCTGTTAGCAAAACATAACGTGCGCGCACAGGAGGAGAGGGTGTAAAAAAATGAGCAAGATGAATAGCTGCTCGTCTCCGCAATGTAAAGCTCGCTCGGCGGAGAGAAGCTGCTGTGCAGTACATGTGCTTGCACAGGCCACGGGTATAATATATACTATGTAACGTGTATCGACTGGTGTGCAGTTAAATCGTGTTTGTTCAACGTCACGAGCAGCAACAACAAAAGACGAAGCGAGCCAGCCACGCCACATGCATTCACATTTACATGTAGTAGTTTTTTCTATCGTCTCTTATACTAGCTGCTGCAGAGCTATAAATTGAACGAGCAGACGCAGGCGTAATTTCATTAACGTGGCACGTAGCAGATGTAAAAAATAATTCAATTTTCGACGACGAGTAACTTTTGGAAAGAATCAAGACACCTTAGCATAATCCGTACATGTTCAGCGAAGACTTGCGTTAGAGCTATGTAGAGACAAACAGCACTATGAGAATTTCTCATTTTGTACTTCTTTGTAATTTCTCAAGATTTTCACGCTCCAAAGCTCCGAAGCAGCAGAAACAGCGGCAGCATCACAATCTCACTCCGCATAGCGCTGCAATTATCGCATATCTAAGTGCGCGACGTAGAGCGCGCGCGCCGCACAGTTTTCCATCGGTCGTTCACCCAAGCCGTTTGCTACTGCTGCTGCTACTGCTGCTGCTGCATCGAGTCACCGGCGTCTATTATGCCCTTTTTTTTCTTCGTTTTTTGAGCGCTCGAGCGAACTTCTTGCATCTATAATAAGAGAGCAAAAAAAACATCCCGGTTATATACGTGGCAATCATCTCCTTCTCGCGCGCGCGTATTATCATAATAGCTACGGTAATAAATATGCATAGGCCGAAGTTAATAATAATATTATTGGTCGTGAAATTTTCCAGAAATGGCCGAGCTTTTAAACCCGAGCTTTTATACTTCTTTATTTTCCGCGCGTTGATTGCGCGCGTAACATTATGAACGCACGCGTTGTTGCGGCGATGCGGATCGATAATTTTCTTCCGTAGCTGTACCCGCGCGAGAATACAACGGGCATTGAAGCTTTCGATGACGGATAATTTAGCCTCTAAGTATTATCCGCGTGTAAGTTCGAAACCCTCACTTTCTCTTTTTTACGTCCTCGCAATAAAATTGGAGCATTTTTCCGCGCGGCTTTTATTTTTTTATTATCATACGTCGCTCTCTGTCACGAGCAGAGCGCATGTAGGACGTACTTTCCCCGTTTCATGTAGCATATTTCTTGGACAGAAACAAAAAAGAAGGGCTCGGGTGCATAAATCGCGCGTAATACACCACAAGAATTTCAGCCCCATGTTTCTCATTCGTATCCGCCGTCGCAAGTATGTATGAAATATACTTTTACATTTATGCGTTAACCTGTCGCGCGCACGACGCCCGCGTTCATGATATTTTTGACATCGAAATTGACACTTCAGCGAGATGAGGAAATTATCGGAGGAGAAATGACAGACGTCGATTACTTCGTGTACCGAAATGTCCGATATATATGTTCGATGTACAACTGCGCGTAGCTGAGGTGGAAATTCAATTTTGCACGCGGTTCTATATGCGCATTTGTTGCACATAAAGTCCGATACACGTGTCAATGATCGAGTGTAATTTTCAAAATATGGCTATCATTGCTTATAATAATTCAATAAAAATACTTATTCTTCATATACTAAAAAGAAATTCAATTAAAAATTTTATTCATTAAACAAAATTATGCAATTAAATAAGATCAATTTTAAAAAAACTTATTAAAATAATCATTTTGTTTCATAATCTGTAAAAATATCAGTTAAGGTTATGCCGAAGCCCCGATTTTGACCGACCAAGCATTGAGAATGGTTGAAGTATTTAATGACAGGCCAAGTTGTTAAACCTGAAAAGTTAGTGAAATTTATATAGTAAATTTGTAGCTTTCTTACTGCGAGTTCTTAATGCGCCATCTAGGATAAAATTCGAAAATAAAAAAAAGATTATACTCTTTCATGAAATTACAGATTTGATTGATTCGATTAATTATTTCGTCAAAGAAATAATGTATTTACTCAATTGAAACTTTCATATGCCAATACATTTTTTGCATACAATCTATAAATACAATACGATATTAAGTAAGATCTATAAAGTACGATTTAATATAAAATCAAAATTTGTCGAATCAACTGATTTTTTTCTTAAAGTACTAATTATATTAGATGATTTATTTTCCTCATTTTGATGTTGAGAATATCGCGCAAAAATGCTCATTTAAATAAAACAAACTTTGCCTCATTAAAAACTTTTTCTACAGTATAAAGCCCGAAACTTGACACGTCTGCATGGTACTCGAGAGATAATAATATATTAAAACAGTGGACTGGTATAATAAATGTAATTCTTCGCTCTTCCTACGATTTTCATTGAAACGTTCTTCGATTAATTTCATACGCTTACAAAGCAATATATCATTATGAAATTCGATTAATTAACGAATCCTTTTTTCGCATCAAAGACAATTACGTCCTAAGAGGCAATATTGACTCGGGAAATGCCATTGTTCATCCTCCTTGCCCACTAATTATTCCCTCGCTCGATCGCTTTGGGCTTATGGATTCGAGCCGGCTATAAAGCTATTATGCATATACGTCGTGTATGTATAATATATTATAGAGAGAGAGAGAAGCGGGTGTATACCCTGTGTCTATCCCCGGCCAGACCTCTGAATGTCTGGTTATCTGGTACTCGCACTAGAGAGTAGTAGAGTGCAGAGCGAGCAGGAAAAGCCTATACACACAGACAGGAGCCCTCTCTCGTGCTCGCCCACTTCTGACTTTGACCACGATGCCTCCCGTAGTACATTCGCTTTTGAGCTTTTTGATTGACTATTTATGTCGCTTCCCTCTTTTTTACGGGTTCTTCGTTTATGCTCGAGCCTTTATTCACGCGTGGACCAAAAATTTCGAAATACTCGAAAAATCTCTCGTTCGAATTTTCGTACATTTTTCGCGCTTCATTTTCACAAATTTTCTATCGCTTTTCTATCCACGAGTAGGTATTTCTAAAAATTCATCCATCTCGTCCTCGTTTTTTTTGCTCATCCGATGGCATTCCGATCTTCCTTTTTTCTTCTTGTTCTCATTACGCAAGCTATCGCGTCATTTTTTTTTCGCAGATCCTCGCGTGGATTATTACTATTATTTTTTCTCTCCTGTCGACCGGCGAGCCGGCCGCGCGCGTAATTACAGAAGCCCCAAGAATGACAGAAGTGAAAATTGCAAAAGAAGAGGTGAAGAAAAAAAAATGTCCTGCGTCCCGAGCCAATATAAATGCAATGGTATACGTATATACTCGTTCTGTTACGTCGTGCGGTACCCTTTCGATTTTGTTGTCCCTACGGTGCGTATGCCGGGCCAACTCTGACAACGAATACGCAATGGGTGACAGCAACAGCGACAGTGGCGGTACTATAGGTTTGATTTGCTTTTATTTTGTTTTTCACGCGACGCGCAGTATCTAATTGGATTCGAATGGGAGGGACGTGGACGTGGACGTGGACGCGTTTATGTATAAATTGAAAAGGCAATTCACAGGCCGTTAATAGAAGATTATCACGTTTATTTCCCCGCCGCGAAGGCGTCGAAAAGTCATACGCAGTCGATAGTGTTATATCTCGAATTCAAAATACGCCGCTGCTCTTCGTTACGACGAGTTTAATTTGAAATTGATTAAAATAATAAAATAATGTACATGTGCTCTCGAGGCACTTTGAGAGTATTTAAAGAGCACATGTGCACAATATACTCCCGGGCAATAAATAGATGATACCCAAGGTAGAAGCCTAATTGTAGCTCAAGTAAACGATCATGGGATAAGACCAATAAAATTCGCTTATCTTTCGACTACTGATGATTCAAGATTGTGGGCGCCAGTATATAATTGCGTGAATTTTCGAGAGCCACTCAATCTCTGGCATCATTTTTGCACGCGCCGAAACTCCATACCCGTTTCGGCAGTGCGCAACGATACACGCACCGTTTCGTAGGAAATTCGGACTCAAAAGTTAATATATACCAGATATCATGTGGGTCTACAGCTTCTCTAGGGTCAACCAGCCTTTTCCCGTCGTCACCACCAGCGAATTCATTCATTATTGTAAGCTAGTACTAAGGCGTTACACTTCATGCTTTGCTTAATAATGAAAAAATTTTTGAGCACGGACAGAAATACCGTATTACTATGTTACCTCATTCGCTTGCAAAAATCGCTATTTTCGACAGGAAAAGTGGCCCAAAGTTGATGTGTAGTAATTTTTGTAGCATATTTATATTCCTTGAGAGATATTTCGTTTTTCTTTAGAGCTTAGTTAATTCAAGTTAGTCCGATTTCTGTAATCATAGAATATTCCAATTTATTGATATTTGAATGCTATCATTTGGTTGCTTTCGTCACCAATGGACATTTCAACAGTAATGTTTTCGAAAAATTTTTTATATTTATACCTACGAACTTTTTTTCCTTTTTACGGATTTGCAATACTCCATCTGTTGATGAAATCAGAAAGGTGCAAATGATTAGTTGGACGGACTACTGAAATAACAAGTTACATTTTCTTAAAATAACACGTAACGATAAAAAGATTCTTTTAGCGTAATCCGCGTTCGCAAAAAAGAAATATTCGTCTGTTTCTTCACGCAACGACACTCGTACATCGCATGTATCTCAATTATCTTTCATGCCCGGGTGAAAAAAGGTAAAAACATCTACCTCTTACCCTCTTGCTCTTGTCTGACCACACGCGGACTCAACTACTTGTCGTGGCGCGGTCTTTTTTGCCTTTTCTTTTTTCGTCTAGCCTCGAAATGAAAAAAAAGCTCATCTCTGGCACACGAACCGTCGTCCCTTGCATGTTGAGACCAGAAAAAAGAAAGAGGAAAAAAAAGAAAGAAGAATCTTTGTTTACTCACGTGTGTATACGTGTGTGTGTGTATGGGTTATGTAAGCCGTCCTGAGCGTTGATGGTCATACCCGTTTGTATGGCAATATAACGACGGCGGTGGCTACCTTATATAGTACGAGAAAAGTGAAAAAAAAAGACTGTCGCGTGAAGACAATGGTTGTCTTTGTTGCCCGTGCAGCAGCGTGTGCGAGGCGTAAATAGCGATTATTACACACTAGGCGACTTTCGGATGTAAGTTTAAATTGTTCAAAACAAAAAGTGTAACGAGAGGTTAGGAATAAAATAACAATAATAACAATGAACCACTCTGAATAATATTATGCACCACGCCAGAACTCATTCTCCCATGTGTCTTTTTCAGGGTCGGATTTCTTTTAAAATTCAGATCTTGTTTTGGCCGCGCCCGCAATAAAGTTCCGGATGCGACGTACGAATAACTAAAGGATATATATATTCCAACGAGTCCCGGCGACGAACAAAAAGTGCAGAAGAAGGAGGAGGAGGAGGAAAGGGAAAGTTTCGGCTACTATACTCACGGAGTGAAACGGAGAAACTCTCTAGACAGGTTAGCGATAGAGAGAAGGGAGGAAGAGGATATAACCCCGAGAAAGCAGCAGTAACGGCGACGTAGCAGCAGCGTCCCAAGAAAGATGGGCGAGAGCTCGCCGGACTTGAGCCTACGGCTACGCCGTGGCAGCTCCGACTCGAGGGATTCATTTTACATGGACTTTGCTCAGGTATATAATGTATAATAATAATAAAATAAAACACTCAACGTGAATCCATAATATATAGCCATACGTATGCTCGCGGCGGCGACGGCAGAGCAAAAAGAGAAAGAGAGAAAAGCAATCACCCCGTAGCTGCAAGTTTCAATATCGCCGCCACATAGAGATGACATTCGCAACGATATTAAAATTTATTGTATTATCAAAGTTATCAATGAAAAAGTTAAACGCGGCTTGATCCTTTTTTTTCTATCGACGAGAAACTTTGATCCGTGCGTGAATGTATTATACGCGCATGAAACTCGTGAAGCACAAGTAGAGGCCGTCTGTTCGGGCTTTGCGGATAGGCAATAAATCCAAATCAGCCAGCGAGGCGGGTGCCGCGACGACCCTACTACCACCGCCGCTGCGTCCGCGTACATACAGATAAATCGATTTGAATTGTAAGTCCGATTGTTCCCCCGCGGCTCGAGATGATCTTTCGTGCATCGGAAAAAGCTACGTCATCAATTTGTTCACGGTATCCGCGCGATCTCTTCCTCGTTATTTCGAAACGGCAATGGGTAATACATTACATCGTGTTTTTCACACACACAGGGCATAGACTCGGACATCGAGGAGGTCACGAGGCCCACGGACAATCTCGATGAGCTGCTGGCCGAGTCGATGGACAACGACAACGACGCGATGCTGCCCGTCGTCAGCGAGGACATCGCCACCATACCCGAGGAGGCATCGGAGGAGCTGAGGCTCGAGGAGGAGCAGGACGCTCTAGAGGCTGCCAGGCGAGAGGCTGCAGCGGCGGCGGCTGCGAAGAAGGAAGCGGAAAAAGACAAACTCACCATGGAGTGAGTGCAATGATTCTATTATTATTGTATTAATTATAAATCGTAATTAATCCCTGGATATTTTAATTTTGATAAATTGTATACGTTTAATTCGGAACACTCTAGCTTCCGGGGGCTTTAAATTGAATCGATGTTATGGAGTAACAAGCGAGACTACACTATGCTGCTCGAGTATATTGACAAAGGCTCGTGCCGACGATAGAGCAAGAGAGCCACAAAGCAACTGTGAGAGTTGCGAATTAATTGAAAATCTTGGAGACGCTACCGCATAAGCCAGGAGTTCACTCGAGTGCTCCACTCCACTCCATCTTTCTCTCTCTGTTTGTTACCTAAATGATTAACCCATTAGCGCCCAGCCGGACACTTTTTTCAACTGAACTTTAGGCGAAAATCTTTACTATTCAGAATTTTGCTAAAAATTAATGAGTTCATGTATCTAACGGGAAATTTAATGCCCTTTTCGAATATGGCTTCAAAATTAATCTTAAAATTATTGTTCAAAAGTTATAAACAATTGAACAAAAAAAAACACGAATTGAAAAAAAAAAAATTGTCTTCAACTCGAATTTTAAAACAGAAACAGGCTTGATACTTAGGTCCCGAGCACATTAAAGGTGTCCATGGGATGTAAACTGAAAATCCCAATATCCATAATATCGGAATTGGACATTTTTCATAAAAAAATGGCGCTTCGTAGAAAAAAGACCGTATATGAGCTAAACCAATTTTTTTACATGACAAGGATGCATTTAGGAAAAAAAGTTATATTGTAAAAGTTCTTAGAATTGTTCAAAGAACAACCCTGAATTTTTTCAGAATTTTTGGTGAAAATTTTTGAATTTTCGGAAAATGATGAAATCCAAAAAATCCAAAATTATTCGAAAAATTCAAAAATTTTCACCAAAAATTCTGAAAAAATTCAGGGTTGTTCTTTGAACAATTCTAAGAACTTTTTCAATATAACTTTTTTTCCTAAATGCATCCTTGTCATGTAAAAAAATTGGTTTAGCTCATATACGGTCTTTTTTCTACGAAGCGCCATTTTTTTATGAAAAATGTCCAATTCCGATATTATGGATATTGGGATTTTCAGTTTACATCCCATGGACACCTTTAATGTGCTCGGGACCTAAGTATCAAGCCTGTTTCTGTTTTAAAATTCGAGTTGAAGACAATTTTTTTTTTTTAAATTCGTGTTTTTTTTTGTTCAATTGTTTATAACTTTTGAACAATAATTTTAAGATTAATTTTGAAGCCATATTCGAAAAGGGCATTAAATTTCCCGTTAGATACATGAAATCGTTAATTTTTAGCAAAATTCTGAATAGTAAAGATTTTTGCCTAAAGTTCAGTTGAAAAAAGTGTCCGGCTGGGCGCTAATGGGTTAAAGTGTCAACAACTATTTAAGCCGCAAAGTCTCGGGCACAAACGGTCCTCTCGTAGCATACATTATACTCAGCGCGTTGTAACGTCGCAGTGCCGCGCAAAATCGATTAAAATTTCCAATTTTCCCGCTATAATGTCACCCGCGTGTTATAAGGCTTTGAGCTTTTAATGCGCGTCAACGATAATAACATTGTGCACGGTGGAAAGCAAAGAAAAAAATATATATATCGAAAGAGCGCAGGTAACCTACATTAAAGTTCGAAGGAGGAAATGGATAACTGCGCGCCGTCGACGCCACACGTTGACGTATACACTGTACACACACACACACACACAGGATATCGAAAGCGCAGATTGCAAAGTTCCATTGCACAGCTCTAGCTCTAGCTCACAGCAGAATATCGGTGTTTCGAAACTCTCTCAGGCAGCTAGAGCTCGCTCAGCAGGCTCGGATGCCGTATTTCCCGTATACGGCTCTTCCTGACTTATATACCGCGAGAGAATGCTGCTGCTCGTAGCAGACGGTAAAATGACTTTTTTTTTCTTTCTTGTTTTTCACAGAGTTTCAATTTTCCGCGCAACAAACTCGATCGTGCGCGGGTCAGTGTGTGGAGATAATTAATAAAAATAAAAACGAACTATACGTACCGGGAATAACTCGATCTTCGTGTAAAAGAAAAAAATAAAATTGTTTTGTATCAATTATTTTTCGAAAAATTAATTTATCCACGCACGCGTGTACCACACGGAGTCAATTATTTTTTATTTACATCGTCGATGGCGGTATAATATAATTTGGAAAACTAAAGTGAAAAAATGTTCAAACGCGCGCAGAGAAGCGTAGAATGCCTGCCGGTTATCCACTTGTAGGCCGCGCTTGCAGCAGCACCTCTTTTTTTATTTTATATTATATACATTTCGTTCACGTATACGAAACAGTGCCGAAGCTCAAAAAACCTGCTCTCGTCTGATCGTTCTCTCTCTCTCTCTCTCTCGGCATATATACATACGTAATCGATTTTTGCATGTGTATACGAATATTGCCGCGTCCTTTGTGCAGCGATGAAGCGGCAGGTATATAGAAAAATGAACCGCGAACTTTGATGTTGTTTTCTCACGAGTGTATGTCTATTGCCGAATGCCCGCGTGCCCGGTGAAAATATTGCGATCGTACGAAGCCCCACACATGCTCGATTATAGACGAAAAGAATGCGAGCTCTGGTATGTACATCAACTTCTGGTTAAAGCGGAAGAACGTATACCTTTCTGTACTACGTCTGAAAAAAAGAAAGGAGCTTTTTCTCCTTGTAAAAAGGCGATCTCTTTCAGGTGAACCAAAACTACACTGTGCATTTCGCTCGTCAAGAGTCATCTTTGCGTGAAATACGAAGCGATTGTGCGATTCGTTCACGTGTAACCCAGTATCTTTCCAATTATCGAGGGAAAAAAATTTTTCTTTTTCATGAAGAGTCCACGACTAGCCTTGCAACTATACTATCGTCTCTTTACAATAATCTATATGAAAAATCGTCGACGACACGCGCAGACTTATGTACATCGTCGCACTATATATTATGGTCGAATTAAAGCGAGCCACGCAGATCACGGGCATCAGTAGCAATGTGCACGCGCGGAGGGGGACACCCACACACACACGCGCGCACAGACACAGATAGGCCCTGTCGTTGACGCTCATCGACCATCCACACACACACACACACACACACGCACACATTCACACATTTATATACATTATCAAACGTGTCACGCGTGTTATATCATTCCGTATATATAAGCGACGAGAGTTGGATGCTCGGCTGTATAGAAATTTTTAAGCGCAGTTGGCGGTCAGCTTTCGGCGTGCGATAATACAGAAAATATATCATAATCATAATAGTACGGTGTTAAGAGCTCTGTCATCGTGCTGCGACACGCTTGCGAGCGACGAAAGCGTCCGTGTATACTAGCTCACTCGTTCATACAGTGTGTGGCCTTTTTTTTTGCTATACTATAAGGAGAGCAGCACTAAGTAGTGCGCAGCGTGTATAGACGCGCCGTGGCTGCTGATCTCCGTCGGCGGAGACGATCGCGAGCCGGATAATGCTCATCAGGGAACAGTCTTCGAGGTACTTGTAGCGACGTATACTTACGTTTTATTTCTCCTCCTCCTCCTCCTCCTCCACCTCTTCTTTTTTTCGTCTTTTTATACTTTTAGTGCTATGTTTTTGTTTTATATTTACACGCTTTAATTGGTAATACCCAGCAGCTTGAGAATAAAATCGAGCTATCTACAGAGATATCTATAGCAATATCTGATCGTGGTTTAAGAACGAAATAAAAAAGATAAAATTTTTGATTATCACCACAATTTTCGTAAGCGGAAATCTTATAGCTTGGGAAAATTCAATCTCGTCTTTTTTTAAGTCATCGCCTCGAGTACTCTTCGCGCAAAAAATTTAAAATACGATCGCGAAACGCCCGATCAATTTCGCCGTGAATGAATTATAATGCACATCTCGCGTACGGATCAAGTGCTTCCGTACGATCGGGCTCGCGCGAGCGCGCTCAATTGAATTGCACTTGTCGCGTATAATGCCGCGCCGCACTTTCTTTCTCTCGACATTTACAATGACAGAACTGATCGTGTATGATGCGCGTCGAACGCTTTCACACCGACGCACACACAGACACAAAGTGTGAGCATTCGGAGCTTTGGCACTTGATTCGAAATTGCTTTAATGCCTAGCGCTATACGAAATTCGTTCGGAGCTTTTTCACTCTCTCGCAAGCTCGGCGCTTAATTGGTTATTTTATTCGATTCTCGCCACATCAATTTAAAATACAATTTGAGAAAAAGAGTTTTGATAATACTTTTTTAACAATAAATATATTTGTTAACTGTATGAAAAAAGAAATAATTTACGTAAAATACTTTTTCGATAGAATTAATAAAAATGAATGTATTTATGAATAATTATACGTTATTTTTAATGCAATACTGAACGAAATCGATTTAGATCTAGACTCAAATTCAAAAATTTAGATTGATATTTAATGTTTTAATACGAATTTTTATTATTCTTTAACTGCAAATCTTTTGAAAATTCAATAATTAAGCCAGCCTTCACCGCTAGATGGCGATTACCGTTTTCCATAAATCTGCAAGTAGCAAAATTGAAATAATTGTTTAAATGAAAGCAAATTTTGAGTTCAATTATTAATGGCCTCGTTCGATTGAAATTAACTTCTAATTCGATCATTCAAACGGCAACAGGAAATTATAACGCGCTAGATCGCACGAGTTTTGACACGTGGAAAAATTGCTTGCTCCGGATTACTGAACAGATCTAGGATTCACGCGACGTATGAAAACGCGCGTAAGCTCGAAGTTTTGTATTCCCTGTACCCGAGGAGTACACTCGACAAGACAAGGAAAAAAAAACGTTGTCGCAGGCAGTCCATCGAGAAAAATATAAGTAACAGGCAACGTATATAATGTAAGACAGGGAGCTTTTGCAAGGACTGCGTGCTGCATCAAAGATACAATGGCAGATGCGCGACTCCAATGTATAGACACTCGAAACGCTGATCTCGAACTTGTCGTGTCCCCGCAGCAGCAGCGGCAGCCTTTAACCAGGCACTCGTGCACGCGACGCGATGCTTTACACGTTTTTTTTTCTCGCTCCTCCTTTATTTCTTAGCAACGTCGCCGCCGACACGTTGTACCGCACACGCCGGGCTATTGTCTCTCGTTTGCGTGCTTGCCCCCTACGCGAGCTTTTATGCCTTCGTCGGCGCGCTTGTGCGCTTGTGTAACTTTGATTTGGATACAAGCATTTTTTTCTTTCATTCAAAGAGATGAATTATAATCTAATGCACAAGATTAACAAGGAGCAACGTCAACTTTCACTCTAAAAATATTATTTGTTCATCATCATAGAATGAAATGGAAAAAAAAATAGTTGGATTACTTTTAATTTTTACGACTGCATGAATACCTCATCATTTACTGATTATCTTCTTCTTCTCATCACAGCTGGCCGGGCTTACCCGCGACCCTGCCATCGCCCGCCTCGCCCTCGGCCGTGATCGTCTCGCCGGAGACGCTGTCGCGTCACAGCAGCAGCTCGCCGACTCGCGGCAGCGGCGGTGGCGTCGTGGGCACCGGATGCGGCGGCGGCGGCGGCACCACCGGCAGCACCAACAGCACCGAGCGCGCCCTCAACAACACCGGCACCACCAGCCAAGCCAGCAATTATCAGCAGCAACACCATCTTCATCAACATCATCACCATGACCATCACAGTCAGCATCATCATCAGAGTCAGATGGGCAACGACACTCTCAAGAGCGATCTGAATTCGCAGCAGTCGCAGCCGTTGTTGCCCCAGTACGCCCTGGCGCTGTGTCAAAATCAGCAGCAGCAGTCCATGATACCGGCCGTGTGCTACCCGGTGCCGAACTATCTCGAATTGGAGATGACGACGGATCGCCATTACAAGCATTCGGGATGGTGAGTGGTAGTACTTTTTTTTTCCTTAATTTACTTTCGTTTCGATCGCGTTAGTCGAAGCGATAATTTGCTTCGCGATCGTGTGCGCATCGAAATTTCTCGCTCTCAGACTGCTCTCTGGTAGCGTGCGAGGGCAATTTGACGCGAGAAATGTGTGCACTTCAATTTACGCTACCTAACTGGTACAGGTCGGCTATAGGCCAATACACATCGGTATACATGCCTCTCTCGCATCGTTATAGACACGTTAAAGAGGGTCGAGTGCAACTTGAAGCGAGATAATTTCATTACTTCGTGGAATATAAATAGTGAGTCTAGCCGATGAAGCTCGGCCCTATGTGTAATACACGCTAAAAGTTTCAACGGTATATAACATGGTAACCGATATAAAAAACGAATTCAGACCTCTCTGTGTGTAGTAGAGAGTGCGCTTTAATATCGCACACAAAAGGAAAAAAAGAAGAAGAATTGATAATCGAAAACTTTCCATCGAAAGGATATCAATCTCTGATAGTTCGAAACTTCGGCGGGCGCACTCGAACTGAGAAATTGCCGTTAGCGTACACGTTATATTATAGCCACTCGTCGAATAATATTGATCTATATTGTGGCGGTAGACTCAGAAACGATAATAGTTGCCAGAAACTTTCTGTGATTTATCATTTGTTTGTTTATTATCATCATTTTTTTTTTTTTAATGATTTTCTCTGCATGACGCGGTGCGTTTAATTATTTGACACTCAAGTTGTGTATATTTAATCAAACATGTACTTCACACGTGCTCGAGATAGTGCAATAAATGCGAGTCAGTTATTGAAATCTTTACATTTTTTGTTTGACAATAGCACGTCACTTTGCAACTTCATCTGATCAAATAATGGCAATGAAAGTTACAAACATTCGAACATTTCGGTGATTTTTATTCAATCAATATATTGTTACAGCGAGAGTAAAAATATATAATGTTTCAGTGACGTTATTCCAGTTTGAATAATAATTAGGAACGAGCGAGATTTAAAAAAGGGAGAGAGAAACAGCGGAGCGCGTCGCCTAGCCTAGCGCTGCTTTGAAAGTGATAAATGACTTCTTCATTGGTTAAACGGACAATATCGTTTATATCCATAAACGTCAGAGTATTCGTAAAAAAAAGAAAATGTAAAAATCGTTGTTCTACACTTCGACCTTACTTCACGTGTAGATAAAAAATGATGAATCCGTAATGTTCATTTATTTTAAATCGACTCTCGGGATACCTGTCAAAAATGCTCAATATTTTGCAGCTAGTTTTTGGCTAGGGATATCATAGAATAAATACAAAATATCTTTAATAAAACTGTGCATGTCTTATATAATTATTTTTACTTTACCACTTGCAGATTTACAGATAAAGATATTCGCCATCTAGTGGTGGAGGTTTAAAATAGTATTATCGTATTGAATATAGTTGAAAACGGATTTTAATTTTTTGAAACAGTTAATTTTTCATTTTCTGGTTATTGAAAATGCGTGAAATAATGTTTTTAATATAAGCAGCTAAATAATGATAACTTATATTAGAATATTTTAATATATGTTTGTTATTTGGACATCAGGCCATCAAAATGTTGAATACTTCCCCTGAATACCTCCAAATTTCGACTTTTAATCAATGATTCTTTATACGACCAGAAGAAGAATTGTAAATAAATTGACTAATTACGTTGATGTTTAAACAGCGACGCCTTCTCCACGACACTGAGCGCTTTGTACGGCAAACTGCTGGTCGTCATGGGTATCGCCTTTCCCATGGCCGAGGTCATCTCCACCTACATACCACCATCGTTTTACGAGGCGTTCTATCTGTACCTCTACATCGGCAGTATGCTATTCCTCGTCATCATGTACCTCGTCACTTGTACGTGCTGCAAATCCAAAAACAGTGAGTACAAGAATCTGTACCTAGCAGCAATTCGTTCACGAGACCATAATAATACGCATCCATTTCTCCACCCCTCCCCATAGAAAACCAAAAGGAAGTGGACCTCGACTCGTCGCAGTCGTCGAGCGGCCTCGGCGCCGACAGCGACAGTCCCGAGCGCGGCGGCGGCGGCGACGTCGGCATCGTCGTCGGCAGCCTGGGCCAGCTGCAGCACAAGCCCGCCCAGCACTACGGCAGCTTCTACCTGCGCATGGGCGCGGTGGCCTTCGGCGTCGGCTCGATGATCTACTCGGGCCTCGAGTTCGGCCAGTACTTCGAGCTCGAGCGCAACACCAAGTGCCACAACATCATGCTGGCCCTGACCCCGGCCACCAGGATGGCGTTCATCTTCATACAGATGTACTTTATCTTTCTCAACGACAAGGTAAGAGAGAGAAAGGTAAACAAAGAAAACAGAAAACAAAGAAAATCGTTTGCGAACGATTGGCAAATGATCGAGGGGGAGGGTGAGGTCTATATATATGTAGAGGCACTTTGCCCTGTATACATAAACTGCAAGCGCGTTAGTTTAATGAAACAGAAGCAAAGCTCGCCTCGCGTATAAGCACACTACACACACACACACACACACACACACACGTATGTACGCGTGTACGCGCAGGGGGTCTCTCTCTCTCTCTCTCTCTCTCTCTCTCTCTCTCTCAACCCACGATGATGGTTTTGTGCACGCTCGACAACGACATACACTCATGCGGGGGGAGAGAAGGAAGAGAAAAAAAAGTGGAAGAAGAACGAGAGGAGACACTGCCGATGCTGAACACGCTCCAGTGCCTTTCCACTTTCGCTCTTTCTGTCTCTTCGTTCTTTTCTCGCGCAGCAGTAGCAGCAGCGGCAGCAGCAGCGTTTCTTCTCGTTAACGCAGTCGTCCTCTCCCCCTTCGTATCGTGCGTGCGTGCGGCGGCGGCGGCGGCGGCGGAGGGTCGACGAAGGTGCCAGTGCGCTGGTGCTGCTGTTGCCGCTGCTTCGCTTGCAAAAGTAATATATGTATTACGAGGGAAAGAAGAGAAGAAGAACGAGAGACAGAGAATGAAAGAAAAAAAAAACGAGAGTCTACCGCGTGCGTAGGGAAAAATTCGAAAAATTAACTCTTAAGCACTCGCGCTACTGCCTCCGCTGGAGAGAATTGGGTTTAGGGTGAATTGTTACGGCTTTGATAACGTAAAATGTGCACCCTGGAGGGTCGTATTCTGCGCGCAAAAAGCGGCCACTTTTTCTCGTATAATGACGACGAGGCTGACGACGATGAAAGTTTATCTCGTTGATGGGTGACTGTGTAAAGGCTTCTCTACACTTTATTGCGCTCCTTCTTTGCCCGAGAAAAACAATTTTCCATTTTACCAATTCGAATGAGCTGTTTCGAGCGAGAAAGAAGAGTCAAAGACGAATAGGCGCGTGCGAGCGGACCAAAAACTTCGGGAAACCTTATCGTCGCACGAAAGCTCAGAAAAGCGAGCAAATAATTGTACGCGCAATACGAACAAACAGATGTACATGGGTGATTATAAAGAAGAGAATTTTTGTGTCCTAGCTTACTCATACCGTTGTGAGTTGAACTGAACTGTCTGAGCTTGCGGCTTTTATGTATTCTGCATACAACTTACTTTTCCATACGTCTAGGTAATTATTCGAAAAAGCATTCAAACGTGCTTGTCGAACATTGAGCAAAATTTCATAACGTCAAATAGCTCTGGTAGAAATGCTTTAAATGACCTTGAATTTAATTGTTTCAAACAATGTGTACTAGTTTTCAACCACTTTAAATGGATTATTCTAGTTTCAGCCTCTATCACGAGATGGCAGATGTCTTTATATGTAAATCTGCAAGTGGCAAAGTAAAAATAATTGTATAAGTCTAAGCACGGTTTAGTAATATATCAATATTCATAGTCGATCTTATATATGACAGTGGCATTTTAGTCCCTTGTTCGACTAGCATATTTGAATGATCTTTCGAATAATTTCCTTAACGTGTGAGAAAGTCAGTTACATGCAAAGAGAAAAAGTTGGAAGATTTGTAGTTCATACGCGCGTGCAAACTAATAACGCACTCGACTTATGGTGTACATTATACAATGCCGACGAGTCTGACTCTCCTTTTCCTATTCTCGTAGGTAAAGTCGAGTTATATCATATACTGCGGACGCAGTGCGACCGCACGCGCGGCGTACCTCGTTTCTGTATACCCACGTATACGTGCAACGTTTGCGTACTGCAACCTGTGATCGTGTGTACAACCGCAGAAAGAGAAACTTGACTTATGTTGTTCCCGGAATTATGTGTATAATAATAATAAACTAATGAAATTTGCGCCGTTGTTGTCACGGTGTTTTCGTTAAAATCGCACGTACAACACCCTTGTCTCTCTATGGTATAATTGGATTATTCCAGCGTGAACTTGAGGCAGCTCGAGGGCATAGACTTTAATCTCATTGACGCTGAGCTTTTTTTATTTTACTTTTTTTTCTTCTTTTATTGTTTTTCCCAGTGAAAAGATAAATAACGCGATGATTTATTCTTGTTAATTCGCAGCAAATGAAGGTCTACAGTCACAGGATGCTGTCGCGCTTCGGGCTCATGCACATGATCGGAACGAATCTCTCGGTCTGGCTCAACGTCCTGATCCAGGAGACCAAGCACGAGATTCTCACCTTCTACAATCCCGAGAACAACACCTTGAGGATCTCGCACAGGCTAGGTTAGACATAGAGAAAGAGAGATCGAAAGAATTTTTCCAACTCGAACGAACGCATCGATCGAAGCTTAACCCTATAACGATGTGCACACGCAGGTACGAAAGCCGGCCACATACATCTGAACAGCGGCGGCACCGGCACCGGCCACGTGCATCACGTCGCCGCGGAGCATCACTCGCGGCTGCCGCGCGGCCTCAAGGGCCCGCACCACATGTTCGAGTGCCGGCGCACCAATATCATGGGCTCGCTCGTCCAGGACGCCAGCCCCTTCTTGTTTCCCTGCACCATCGAGTACAGTCTCATCTGCGCGGCCATACTCTACGTCATGTGGAAGAACATCTGTAAAACGTCGCCGAGCAGCAAGCCGCGCACACCGCCCGCGGCTGCTGCGGCAGCGGCGGCGGCCCGCCACCACAGCCACGCCTACAGGTATATTATATATAGGATAAAGTAATGATGGATGTCTGCTCTGTGCTTTCTAGTACTCCTTGCACCGAAACGACATTATCATTCGGGGATAGGGAAAATATTTTTTTATAGAATCAAACTTCTTTATGCACGTTGGGAAGAGGAACTGAATGAGTTTAAAAATGCAAGGATTAATAATTCAAAATTCGTTTTGCATCATAACAAGAGTTACGGCAATCTGAAGCATCAGATTTCATTGTGAGCTTTTTGATTTTATTAACAGATGGAGCATTGTGCACTCGCAAGTGACAATATAATGTTTGATTAGTACATTAGTAGCAAAAAAGTGGATAGCGGCAATATACAAATTTTCTTTTCTTTTGCTTTGCGGGTCGAAGGTGCCTACTAAGATACGGCAGAACTTGAATCTATATCTCTAGATCTCTAATCGTAACAAAAAATGTTTCCAATTTTCTATCAGCTTACAGGTTACGCATTGAGATATCAAACTATCACGACGGACCGAAAAGTCCAGACTTTTTTGTCAAACGTTCGAAAAGTTCACAGTTTATTTACAAACTTGACCGTTGTCTTGATGTTATTGTGCAGACGCTCGCCCCATCATTACAGCGTGGACTGCGCCGGCGCCCACAAGGGTCTGTTCCTGGGCATTCTCATCCTCGTGCTGACCATCATCTCGCTCATCCTGTTCTTCGTGCTGACCTCGCGACCCGAGCTCGTCAGTCTGGCCGTGACCGAGGTCAACATCTGCGAGCTGACCCTGTACGGCATGTCGACCCTGGCCACCCTCGTCGGCATGTGTCGCATGCGCAAGCTGCGCTACGACGGCAGCCGCAATCTCGAGCTCGACAACATACTGCTCGTGGGCGCGCAGACCGGCATGTTCATCTACTCGACCTTCACGATAATCGGCAGCCACTTCACCCTGGAGAAGCACACGGTGCTCGTGCTGATCACGGCGCTGGCGAGCGTCGTCCAGACCACCTGCCAGACCATCTTCATTCTGGACGCCTCGAGGCGCTCCGTGTCGACGGCCGACCACATGAAGCGCAAACCCGGCCGCGAGATAGTCACGTTCCTGCTGGTGACCAATCTCGCCATGTGGGCCATCAACACCCTGGAGAAGTCCAGGGCCGAGTCGCATCCCGTGCAGCTGCACTTCTACGGCCTGTGGGCCTGGACCATCATCACTCACGTATCTATGCCCTTGGCTATCTTCTACAGGTACGTACCCTGATAAACAAGGCACAAAATTATACTTGACTTAATAAACCGTAACAAATTACCATTTAAAATGTTTTAAAATACATAATTATTAAATGGCTTGTTGTTATCTATTTTCCAACTACAATTTTGCTAAAAATAGTAAGCGAATTTTAAATAACATGAAAATGACAATTAAACTGTTTCAAAAAATTGGAAGCAGTTTTTAATAGGCATACCAGGACCACTAGATGGTGTGTGGCTTTATCTGTAAACCTGCAAGTGACAAAGTAAAATAACTATATATAAGTGAAGTAAAAATAAAAAAGATTTGTATTAGAAAGTGATAAAGTTATAACTATTATAAAGTTATAACTATTGTTAATTATAACTTTACACTTTTGATTAGTATGTTGATTAGTATTCTAGTAGCCTTTTTAACTTCAAGAAACTTTCTCGTTGGCCAAAAACTAGCCTAAAAATGTTAATAATTTCTACTAATGATACATTAATCGCTGTATTCAATGCATCTATCGCGTCAAATTTAATCTTTCTCTCTTCAATCACAGGTTCCACAGCACAGTCTGCCTGTGCGAGATCTGGAAGAAGGCGTACAAAGTCAAGCCGACCTACATGTGACGCAAGCACTCGTCGACAGAGTCGTCGCGTCGACGCCACAGGCGCTCGGTGGCAGCCGCCAGGGCCTGTCTGGCCCAGCGGCCGAATAATCTGCCGGCGCGACTGAACAGCATCGCCGAGAACGATCCGACCTCGTTCATTTGATCGCTCAGTCTGGCAAAGCTCCAGGAGATCGCCGCGCAGCGCGTGCCCCCGAGACGCTCCATACTCATTCTCAGGGACGAGCTGTAAAAACAACAACTGAAACACGAGAAAACCGAAAAAAAGAAAAGAAAACGAAACGAGCGATTTATATTATTAATGAATGTATCGTGCGTGAGATGATCGATGTAATAATCGTTGTGTTGTGACAAGCTGTGATTGCGATAATTCCGCGAGATTCCTCTCTCCACCACACACGCCTATAATTGTATCGTATGGAATTTTTGAGCTCCAAGAGCTCTCTGTGTGTCTCTGCGAGTGCGCTTCGAATCACGTAGATTCGAGTCGAAAAATCACGTAGATTCGAGCGAACTGCAATTTCGGCCTTGCCTTCGACTCATCAACCTTGTGCTGTCGTTACATACTGTGTAAACCTTGACATGTCCGATCTGTGATTACGAATTTTTTGACAGAATCCGAAAAAAAAAACAATCGTAGGATATCCCGCTCTTATGTAGAAGTCGAGCAAATTCGTATGTATTGGCCCATTGACTCGAAAAAATTTTAATTGTTTTCGATATCAGCCAGCTTATAAGTGTAAAGATATTTGCCACGCGACAATGCGTATAATCACGAGAAAGCTTGACTATAAAATTGCTTAGAGGCTTTTTTGTCCATTAGAAGTATATCGCTAGATGAACGATAGAAAATTTCTCGCATTTAACTGAGTTAAGAAACAAAATTACCGTAGTATAAAAGATTAGATAGGCGAAAGGACCATTCTGAGTTGTGGATAATCAATTTTTTCCAGAAAAAATTATATCTTTTTATACCTGAAAAAAAATGAGGAAATATTCTATACCCAAATATTTTACAAAAATTTACTACGAAAAATTTTGTACGACTTACATGGAAATATAAAATTTGATAAAGTAGTGTTCGCGTGACTAGACAGAGAATAAAAACTATAGATAGATAACAGGTAGATCGTGTAGCGATCAGATACCGACGGATCTTGATAATTCGTACAATCGTGAGACAATCTTTAGTTTTGCGCAGACCATTTGTCTTCCTCAGTACAAATGTGAGATAAAACAATTTACGTACGACCAAGTAACCATCGTTTAGTTAGTTATTAAACGGTAAGAGATAGATGAGATTTTTTAAAACTAGTCATATTCGTGAGAAAGAAAAAAAATTGTGAACACTATAGAAACGCTGCGTCTCGTTCGCGCAATTATCGTGCAGATGCGAAAAAAAACAAAAACTTGTTTTCCTTTGTAATTTACATTCACGTAACAAAAATATTTTGAATGCTTAATCTTAGTTAATTGTTGAATATTAAAACGTAGCTCGAGTACCTTGGTAGAATGTAAAATGATTCGGCCCTTTCTTGGCTTATTTTTTCAAGCATTGCGTAAAAAAAAAGTTTATGAGGAGAAAAAAATTATTTAACTAACGCCAATGTAAGTGTTGACTTTTTTTGTAAGTATCGAATTATTAGTGTATAGTATATAAACGTGCACAAATCGATTCTCATTTAGGCGTATAATATACATATGACCCGACGAAAAAGCGACGGTCGATAAATATTCGCCATTAACGTTGCCATCGCATTATTATTCTTATTATTGTAATTATTGAACGTTGAGATATTATATTCAGACGATAATTTAGATTTTATGCGATCATATAGTTGTGCAGCAATAAAAATGTGATAATTTTCTAATTATTTAAGTTCGACGACATTAGAAAAACGTTTTCATGACTGTATGCCAAAAAAATATATTGAATTAATGTTATGGGAGGCAGAAAAAAAATTGAACGCTAGATTACGTAGAATTACATTAAGTTGAACATATTATATTACGAAAATAAAAAAAAATTAAGCGGATTATGAAGAGCAATGATAATAGGTATTATTCATGCTAAAACGCGCGCGTGGACGTTGGTTTGACTACGTTCATTTGGAAACCCAAGAGATGACTGGCTAAAAAAAAATCGAATACCTACTGTAAATATAGAAAAATAATATGGAATGTGACTCTTGACGGTTTTTTTGTGAGCTAGTCTTGTCATACGTGTTTCTTCCTATTACGCTATGATATATATTTATTATATTTATAAGTAAACAAACTTATGTCAACTTTGTTATGTATGAGCATGCACGTGCGTATATATATCGAAGCTACATTATATTACATATAAATTTATAATTGCGTTGTTCTATTTATAATATTTATTATGAATATCACATGTTCTGCCGACATTTTTACTTATAAAATTAATCAAACTAAATACTATTATCATAATCTTCCGGGAGATAACGAAGCGAACTAAACAGTATATTCAAAATTGTAATCTTTAACGTTAGTGCTGACATTAAGATCAGAAGAGGCTTTACTAAATAAAAAGTAAATTAATTTAGTTGATAATTGGAAAAAACAGCAATGAAAAATTCATCGCGTTACAACTGTTTTTTTTGTTGAAAACATTTTTCTTTTCAATTGTTTGTGGGTTCAAATGTTACAATTTTTATTGGCCTTTAAATTGAGAGACGATTTGTAAATATAAAAAAAGAAATGCAGCACGAGCGTCAAATCGCATTATCCTGTGTCCACATAATCTAGTTCCTAATGCAATATGTTTGTACTCTTTGTACCCTTTATATACTATTTGTACCCTCCAATCGCAATACACAGTCGTCCGGAATAATTGTCAAAATTAAAATCTATAATGAAGAAAAAAAATAAATGAATGAAAATAATACAAAAATTCAACAAACATGCGATATTTCCTGTGGATATTCTTATACCCGTAAATATTTGTACAACCAACGAGCTCTATTTTGTAATACGTCCGAGTTGAAATACGTTTTAGCCTGTATACAATCAACGCTTTCGTCGAAAAACGACGATGGCAAATGAAAAGTTCTTTGTTGCAATTAACGCGCGCGCTCGGCGCGCACATAAACGGTGCGGACCTGTAGTAGAGCAACTCCTTCAGACAGCCGCACAAGTCGATACTCCCGACCCAGTTCTCGGAATTGTCTAAAGTTAGCAGCAACAAAGCTGGTAACTGTGCCGAGTTTTACGCGCGCATATACATTAATGACCGAACGCTAGAATAGGATCATGCCCCGGCCTAGACGGGTCCCGCGGGAAATTTATTTGCGAGCTCTAGTAGAGAAGACGTTTATATGTGTGTTTGGAGGAAAAAGAAAAAGAAATTGAATATAAACACGCAATGATAGACGAGTTTTTCCTTGAAACCCGATTGAATGCGCTTATAAACATTTTCTATCTGTCACTTTAGGGTAATTTCAGCGCGCGAGACGTTGGAACTAAATAGTTTCCAAATTACACGCTGTTTGTGTCTGTTTTTATCTTTTGATATCGTATCGCATCTATAATCGAATTGCAAAAGCACAAATGCGGAGTGGAAAATCTTGTTTTCTTTCAATTTTATTTATAGAACGATTGACACTTATGCAAGTCGCTTGTGTACTCAATAATCTCCTCAAATGTTAATGCTCTTCAAATAAGCATGATTTATGATGAAATTGGTTCTCAAAGAGAAATCGTGCGATCAATAGAATTCAGTTACAGAATGCAGTAATCATTTTTCGCCTATTCTTTGAACAACTATAAAATTCGAAAACAGACCCGGCAACTTAATAATACCGTATTATAATTAGATATCATATGCATAAAAAGCACCGAAATATATCGTTTTACCCAGCAAATGAGCGAAAGCGAAAACCAAGAATCTTGCTCCAGAATTTTTTTTTTTACTTATACGTAATGTTTACTTTACCACTTGCGTGTTCACTGACAAACGTTATACTCTCCATCTATCGCCGGAAGCTGAAAGTAATATTATGTTATAGAAAGCGGTTGAAAGCTAGCTTACATTTTTTAAATTAATTAAATTAACATTTTCAAGTCATCTAAAAATACGTTTACTATTTTTTGTGCTACCCCAACCTAAAGTAACATTTTGCTGAGCAAAACCAAAATGTTACTTTAGACTGGGGGATCCACATAAAGTTGTATTTGCACCTATGTAGCGAAAAAAGATAGTCTCAGAGCCCGTGATTATCAGCCTTGACTTGTACTCTGAGACTTTCCAGTTTTTCACTCCCTAGGTACAAAATATACTAATTTTTGTGCCACCCCAACCTAAAGTAACATTTTACTTCCACTGAGCGAAATCAAAAGTGAACAAAGAATATCCAGTTTTTTTACTTCCTAGCGGCAAAATATACTATAACATCATAGTAACAGAAAAATTATCAATAACTAGCCAAACAATGGTAATGTATATGAAAATATTTCAAATGGTCATTAGCCCACATTGATCGTAATGTTGAGCATTTCTACCAGAGTAGCCATACAAGCTAATTCGTGAAGATCTGCTGACGCTGGTGCACTTTATTTCATTTTTCGCGTACATTGCGATGATTTCCGAGACTCGGCTTGATGATTATAAACAAACGTGTCCCTCGAGCTTACTTCGCTCCTTCATCATATTTTCCACGTCTGTGATTTTTCGTCTTCTCGACGCTGCGACGTGTTGTACTTATTTATCAAGGAAAAAGCATCGCGCGGTGGGATGTGCGTGCAGTCGAGGCATTTCTGCGCTCGGTGTGATTTCGTTAAAGGGTTAAAAAGGCCGACTATACGACGAATACGCGTTAATTTGCACACCGGGACGATCGTAAAACGTGAAGTCGATCCGTAAAGGTATTTTTTAAATGAACATTTTTTCATCTTCACTGACTCTCGGTTGGGGAGGGGGGGTTCTTTTTCTCTTCGTACATCTACTCTTAAAGTACAGACACACGAGTTACACACTCGCTTTCAGTATCATAAAAAAAAACGTATAAAGACTGAAGTAAAAATTTCACTCCTTTTCTCCTTTACTTCGGCATAAAAAAAGCTCCACACCGTCATCATGGTTTTCAAAATATCCTGAGAGCAAATTACAACTTCAAACGTACAACGCAGCAGCATCAGCACTCGTGTGCGGGTACGGGCGCGGGCGCGCGCGCCGTTTAAATGTTTCCCAAACCCGTTCTCTCCTAATATTAAAAGTACACACACGCACGTATGAACTTCAGTACGCACGCATGGATTTCTTTTTGCAACCTTTAAAAGCTTTTTCGGGCTCTTCTCTTCTGTCTGTCTCTGATAATGTACGTATATATTGTGTCGCCACGGGTACACGCGTGTGCGTTATGTGCGTTCAAAGAGTCAGCGTAGCAGACATTAGAATGGTGTATAATATACGGCGCACCGTATTCGCAATATATATTATACGAATGCTCGTCACGCAGCATCGGCATCGCGCCTCGGTCTGCAATACACAATGCAAAAATCGAATCGCACGAGGGACGACGACGACGAGATGCATAAATTCCAGTTCCGGACGACATGAGGGTGAATCTACTTTTCGCAGTTGTCTGCTTTGACTTCGACTGCGTATATTATACACGCTTAAAATAATGCCCGCGTCTCCTTTTGTCACATCTTCATTGAAGTTATATTAATTTTTGATGGACGAATCGTTGACGTGTAGTGATTCACAAGATCGTTAAAAGGCCGGGGATGTTTTTATTATTGTTTTTTTTTTACATTTTCTTTCACTTCGCAACAGCGTGAAACAAAAAAAAAATAATAATAATGATAATCCTACTATACATCGCAGCTGTACAGACATTTAACTACAGTATAAATTCATTTGGATTGGAGCAGAGAAAAAAAAAGTATTAAATGCCATGCTCTGGATTGAATAAATCCAACAACGAGGATATAAAAATTTACGACGCGTACACCAATGTGTATTATATACGTTACAAAGA